ATGTCAGCATCACGTGTAGTCAAGGTTCATTGATACCCCTCAGTGATGTCCCCAACAACGTTGCCTGCCTGCTATCAATCACTTGGACCTTTCCAGGAGGCGCCTTGATACGAAGTCAACCGCACAGGGCAAGCACCCAAGAGCCCTCCACACCATTTTCGGCATACGGAACCCCATGCAAGGAATCCTGAGAGGCGTATGTTGGAGGGTCCTTCAGGAGCCCTTGCCTTTGGGTTTTGCCCCGCTCTCCCAACATCCCGCGGCCGGGAAGCGGCGCCGCTCTCCGAACAGCCCGTGGCAGCAGACCAGGTACTCCCGGCTGATCGCGCCGGAGAGCAGCTGGAGGTCCTTACATCCCGAGTCGGTCTGGTGATTCACCCGGTTCAATTCAGATGTTCGAGCTGAATCACAATAGTCCCTCGAAACAATGGATTCAAGAAAGGCACAACAAGAATTGGGTTTCCACCCAAGCCTTTGGTGAGGTGGCAATATGATATGCTCAGACTTTTGGAAAGCACCTGCCTTGCCTCCCTGACAACTGAATGTGAACCGCGTCGCAAGATCGTGGTAGGCGGCATAATTCTTTGCCATCAGCACCAGTCCAGAAGTAGCAACCTCGGGTTGGTAGTCAACACGCCAACCTCTGGCTGTCCGAAGCCCGCTCACTTGCCGCTTGCCGTCCGGCTCTTGAGCCGCTCCAGCCAAAGTGCTTGCTCTTTGAGGTGAGAAAATCGCCAAGAAAAGCCAGAGGCTCGGCATGGAGAGCCAGAATGAGCCCTTTCTTCTCTCCCGCCATTCTGACCCGGCGTTCTTTTCAGAAACCATCCACTTCCCCAAGGATTTGGCCCACCCGAAAGGAAGGATCCCCAAGTGGAGTCTCCCAAAAGGGGTCTGTGCACCAAACATCACCAAACCATGTGCTCAGCGGCCTCTCTCCTCTGCCATTACGGGGCCTTTTAAAGAGGATGGTCTCCCACAAATTACTGACAAGCGGCTTCACGTGGGTGAGCGACAGGGGCCGCTTGTCTGACACAACAGAAAGGGCTTCCCGAAGACTAACCCCGCATTCTTGAAGGGGGAGATTCCCTTGCATCACAGTGGGGATAAACTTCTTGATCCCGCAACCCTGCTCAGTAGGGACTGAGGCAATGAACCTGAAGATTCCCCTGCATCACAGTGGGGATAGACCCCTTGTGATCCCAACACCCCGTGGGCTAACGACAACTCCCAAACCAAGCTGGCCATCCGGCTCTCCGGCCGAGCAGCGTCCAGTCGGTGCAGAAAGCCGAAGCAGCTCAATGGGTCCCGGCTGATGCGACCTCCCAGCACCTTCTGGGCGAACTCCTGGGCGAACCAGAAAAAGGTGGACACGAGTTGATTTAACCTTTTCTTTTCGGAATAGTTTAGGCCTGCAAAATGGCCTGAAAGTGCCTCTGGCAGAAGGGCGGAGGTGTGCAGTCCCTCCAAATCCACCTGCACGCATCAAAACACAAATGCAAACGCAGACAGACAGACAGACAGACAGACAGACAGACAGACAGACAGACAGACAGACAGACAGACAGACAGACAGACAGACAGACAGACAGACAGACAGAAAAACAAACAAACAAACAAACAAACAAAACAAACAAAACAAACAAAACAAACAAAACAAACAACCAAACAAACAAACAAACAACAGGAAGCCAGGCAGCAGGCAGGCAGGCAGGCAGGCAGGCAGGCAGGCAGGCAGGCAGGCAGGCAGGCAGGCAGGCAGGCAGGCAGGCAGGCAGGCAGGCAGGCAGGCAGGCAGGCAGGCAGGCAGGCAGGCAGGCAGGCAGGCAGGCAGGCAGGCAGGCAGGCAGGCAGGCAGGCAGGCAGGCAGGCAGGCAGGCAGGCAGGCAGGCAGGCAGGCACGCAGGCACGCAGGCACGCAGGCACGCAGGCACGCAGGCACGCAGGCACGCAGGCACGCAGGCACGCAGGCACGCAGGCACGCAGGCACGCAGGCACGCAGGCACGCAGGCACGCAGGCACGCAGGCACGCAGGCACGCAGGCAGGCACGCAGGCAGGCAGGCAGGCAGGCAGGCACGCAGGCAGGCAGGCAGGCAGGCAGGCAGGCACGCACGCACGCACGGACGCACGCACGCACGCACGCACGCACGTATGCACGCACACATAGACCTTCACCATCGCCACAGCCGCTGCCATCGTCATCGTCAGCGTCATCATCCTCCTCATGGTGGTCATGACTGTTGTCATCATGCTCATCATCATTGTGATCCGCATCGTCGTCGTCAATATGATCATCATCATCATCATCATCATCATCATCATCATCATCATCATCATCATCATCATCATCATCATCATCATCATCATCATGCACAAGCATGAACAAGTAGGATGTCCAGCGCTACACTGTGTATATATGTTTCTGATTGGCAGGGAAAGCATGTTGGGAAAAAGATTCCCCCTCATTCCCAACACTATCAGTCACCTCGGAACATGTTGAAGCATCATGGTGTACAGAAATATCAATAAATAGCTAAAGGAATAAATGAATACATAAACTAATACAATGCACTTTGTATATAGATAATAATGGTTGGTTTTCCCAAATAATTGGATTGGGAGCCTTTTCCTACCAAAACATGTTTCCCACACCCAAAAAAGGTTGGTTTTCTCTTGCTTCCCTTCAGAGCAATCCGCAACGCAGGGGGGGGGGGCAGTTCGGCCCAGAGTTTTGATGAGTTCCCTTGAAATCGTGCCATGGAACCTGGGGATGCCCAAACCTCAAAATGGTTTCCGCTGAGCAAGCAACCAGGACCCAGGTTCCATGCTAGTGAGTGGGAGTTGTCTGGAGTTGGTGGACATAACCCTCATGTGAATGATGTCTACAAAAGGCACAAAGAGTCCTCAATGAACAATCGTACCCATGTGGTTGGGGGTGGCCATCAGTTGCCTGAAATGATCCCTGTTGTGGGAATCACATCCAACATTGAAGGACATGGAACATGGTAGCTGTGTGGCACCACTTGACACACACACAACAGTTGAGTAGGATATCGACATGACTCAGGATGACCTTCTTTCCGGACTCCTCTTGGAAGGAGAGGAAGCCAGCCGTGTTCTTTCTCACAGAGTAGAACGGGTGTTGCAACACCTATTTTACTTCTTGTTGCCTATTTTACTTGTTGTTTTTGGGGGGGCAGAAGGATCCCGCTTTTCTTTGGCGCCCAGTCCACTTTTGGCCGAAGAGCCGGCAGCTGGCGGTGCTCCGCGCCCTCCGTGGGCTCCACCTCCCAGCCCGGCGGCTTGTAGAGCACCTGAGGACATCCTCCAACCGGGGGATGCCGGTTTCGAAACGACGTTGGGGGAATGCACCTCTCCAAGGGGCGGATTCTTGTTTGAAACGACCGCGTTGGGTGGAGCACCTCAAAAAGATCGTAAAATCCAGGGGTGGATGCCTTTTCCATTCACCTGGGGATGGATTTTTTGGGGGGGGTGGCTCTTCAGATCCGAGGAGTACTGCCTGGCTTCGGGCCGAAAAGCCCCGGAAGTTCCGGGGGGGGGTCCTAGGGGTTGATTCCTTGCCCATTCTTTTCAACCGTTCTTTTCAAAAACCCGATCGCCATTTTCCCTGGGCTTCCGGAGGTTTTCTGGAAAGATTCGGATCCCTAAATAGAATGGGGAAGGTACCCCCAGAACCTCGTCTTTTTTCCTTTTTGTAGACCCACCACAATAAAGGGGTGTAATAAGAAAAAGACAGATCCATGTGTGTGTGTGTGTGCGTGTGTGTGTTGTTTTTGAGGGTACCCCATTTTTTCGGGTTGGCTTGAAGGGAAATGCAAAAAGAAACCACCTTCTTTTGGTTGGGGTGGGAAGCACGCTCTACGAGCCGCACTGGTACTGCCCTACGATGAAAAAGCCATGAGTATTGCCATATAGGTTCTTGTATCAAGAGTTTCACAAGTCATTCATTCCGACAGGCTTATCACATTCGTTCTTCCTCTTGATGGGAGGAGTCCTGGCTGCCTTATCCGCGGACCAATGAATGCATTAGACATCTGCCGAGGCTGGATGTCCTTTCCGAGGAAAAACTGCGCGACCTCCGGAGCTGAGCTTTTGCTGTCCCAGGCTGCTGACAAGGCGCTGCTCGATCGGCCAAGTTGAGGACAATCCCTAAGCGACAAATGAAGACAAAACATGCCATACTGTCCGCACGCGAGACTCCCTAAATGAGGGAAGGGAATTTCTAGGGAGGAGACCAAGCGCCCCCCAATTTCCCGGCGAGAATAGCGTTCCCAGAACGTGTCTGGTGTGGGAGGGTCATGATTGTGCCTCCCCTGAACTTCACGTACACTAGGACTAGCGATAACCGGTTCGCATGAAGCTTACACAACTGCAAACGAAATGTAAGGGGCATGTCGAGCAACAAAAACGCACCTCTTAGCTCAATTTCCGCCTGTAAACCTTTGCTTGAAAAGCAGTCAAATCTCACATCGCCCAAGGAAAATCCGCTGGACATGCTGAAACCTTGGAGCCAAAGCAAACTTCATGCATGCCGGGGCCCTCGACTGGAACTCCAACAAAACTTGGTCTTTGAACCAGGGATATATCGTATTTCCGCTCAGGATCCTGGGAACAAGCCTCAAGAATGCTCGGGGTAACCACGACTGCAAGGAGTGAATGGCTAAATGCCTATCCTGCTGCATTCCACTCAAGATGTCGGAGCTCCTTCACGCCACGGCGAATATTATCATTTGTGTGAGAGGCGAGCAGGGACTCTGACGCCTTGCAAAAATATGTCTCTTTCGAGGACACCGACGGCACCATCTCTCAGCAAACCGAGAGAGATGACCGGGGAGCCCTCAGACCCGCAAAATCCACATTTGGCTGTGGGTCAAAACCCTGTACCCCTGGTGAACATCAAAATAGGCGGTACATGAGTCCCAAAATGGAGGCATAGCTTATGACCCATGACCATTTCACAAACCACCCTGGCCAACCTGGAAGAAGCACCAAACCTCCATAGAACCATAGAACGCCCAGCCCCAAACAAGGAAAAAAGCGGGGCGTCTCACAGCCCCCGACTTCGCTAAGCCGCCCCACGCGGCGCATCGTCGGCTCCCAGCGCACCGAGCCCTGAGCCACGTGGCTCGAGGCGTTTTTTTGCTTCGAGCCCCAGGCGCAGAGTTCTCGGACACTTCGGAGCCCGGTTTGGTTCGTATTCAAAGAAAAACCAAAAGAAAACCAATTTTAGGGGACCACGATTTTGAAGAAACCCTCACACACACACACAACACACACACACATGTGTGTGTGTGTGTGTGTGTGTGTGTGTGTGTGTGTGTGTGTGTGTGTGTGTGTGTGTGTGTGTGTGTGTGTGTGTGTGTGTGTGTGTGTGTGTGTGTGTGTGTGTGTGTGTGTGTGTGTGTGTGTGTGTGTGTGTGTGTGTGTGTGTGAGTGTGTGTGTGTGTGTGTGTGTGTGTGTGTGTGTGTGTGTGTGTGTGTGTGTGTGTGTGTGTGTGTGTGTGTGTGTGTGTGTGTGTGTGTGTGTGTGTGTGTGTGTGTGTGTGTGTGTGTGTGTGTGTGTGTGTGTGTGTGTGTGTGTGTGTGTGTGTGTGTGTGTGTGTGTGTGTGTGTGTGTGTGTGTGTGTGTGTGTGTGTGTGTGTGTGTGTGTGTGTGTGTGTGTGTGTGTGTGTGTGTGTGTGAGTGTGTGTGTGTGTGTGTGTGTGTGTGTGTGTGTGTGTGTGTGTGTGTGTGTGTGTGTGTGTGTGTGTGTGTGTGTGTGTGTGTGTGTGTGTGTGTGTGTGTGTGTGTGTGTGTGTGTGTGTGTGTGTGTGTGTGTGTGTGTGTGTGTGTGTGTGTGTGTGTGTGTGTGTGTGTGTGTGTGTGTGTGTGTGTGTGTGTGTGTGTGTGTGTGTGTGTGTGTGTGTGTGTGTGTGTGTGTGTGTGTGTGTGTGTGTGTGTGTGTGCGCGCTTTTTTGGAGCACCTTTGTTGGACGGTGTCCCTCAGTTTTCGGAACAGCATTATTCACATAACAAAGAGATTTGAAATGGGTGCCCCTGAACACTAGCAGAGGATGGTGGAATTCTAGACCGACCACCACTGCTAAATCTAGGGACGTGTTTTGGGATGGTTTCACAAGGAAGAATTAGTTTGATGCATCTGCATGTTCCTAGTGCGCGTGATTGCACCTCAAGAAGTTGCCAAAGCACAAAGTGAATCATCTGTCAAGATTGAGGAGCAACCAATGCAAGGCTGAAAGCATTGCATGAGCAATCCACACCCGGCCCGAACCCCCTGGTTTCTGGGGCCCCAAAAGCAAAAACCTTCCACGCCCTGAAGACGTCGATCTCACCATGTCGAGCCTCGTAGTCTTGGGGCAGCTCCATCTTGGGCGCGCGCGAGCCTGCGGAGCCCGCGAAGCTGGAGGAATGCAGAGGCCAGCTGATCGGAAAACCCATAGGGTTGATTCCTGTTGATTCATAGGTGTCGCCACTGATCCCGAGTTGGGAATGAACTCCTGGTTGAAGAAAAAGAGTGGTGTCGCATGGACAGTGCATCTTGCAAAGCATGGACAGGTTGACACTGTATTCAGCAGCATGTCTGCCCGGTGCATGGAATGGCTCACTTTATAACTGAACAACTGCTGCGAGAACCCCAAGCAAGAGCTGTCACAAACGGCGAAGAACCAGGCAGTGTCTGCATTCGACAGCAAGCTGGAAGCTTGAAGCTCTGGGCTGTATTCTCACTCAGGACTCAAACCCCTCTGGCGGGGTGTTTTTCCCCAAAAAACTGGATCCTAAATGAGGACAGGGCGGTTTTTGATCTGGGCTTGCACCACTTTACACAAAAATCATCCAAAAGCCTGCACATGGCAACTGCTTATCCAGATTTCTACACATGTGCCTGTGCATTGCTGTTTTTACATGCTGAAGCCACCAGCTATGGAATCCCTTGTCAACACGTGTGGCCCCGAAAATACGCTTTCTTCCCCTCAATGTCCCTCTGATTGCTCCCTGGCGTTCTGCTTCGTTCCCCTTCGGCTTCCTGTATGTCCCCGCCTCTGCAGCTCTGTCTGTGCCAAACCAAGGAGCCGTTGCCACCTGACGGCGGGCTTGCGCTTCTCAAAGGGCCCCTCCAAATGGTTGCTCTTTTCAAAGTGGGTTGTTTGGCTAATAAAATGTGTGTGCATACTTACTAATACGACCAGTATCAGTTTAGTAAACAGCTTAGAAATCAATGAAACAAACTGCATGTATAGAAAACGCAAGCCCCGTTCTGCCAGCTGGTTTGGGGATGCCAATAGAGTACCCACCCACCCGGTGGAAAATCAGAGGAACCGCTGCCGCGCATCTGCACGACTGAAAAATGCCCACTTGAAACTTCCTCGAGCATGCTGGTGAAGCGGCCTTGCTTAGGACTAGAAATTCCCTCAGAACAAAAGGTATCGAGGCGAACCGCGTTGCCAACAAGTCATTCCAGGCTATGGGCCATCGGCTTGGTCAAGTCCTGGCCCCTGGCCTCAGCCCATGTCTCATCGGTCTTCGGGGTCCCCAAAAAGTTATTTGCGTCCCCTCGAAACCGAGACGCTTCTAGGAATCCTCCCCAGGCTTATATAACCATGGAATCCAACTGCCGAATTCGGGGAAAAACAAAAACGAGCGGCAAAGTCCGGCCAAACAGTACCAAGGTTGGACATCCGTGGCTGTCTCTAAATGAGGGGAACCTCTTGGTCCCTAAAACCAACCGAAAGGCGGCGACCCCAAAAAGCCCGACGCACCCCACACCCATCCGCCTGAGCTGCCGCAGCACCGCTTTCAGGTCCCGAGCATATGCCGCCGCCTCATGCCCCATCAGCAGAGGTGGACGGGCCAGCCTCTGCGACAGAATGGCTTCTAGGGCTCACTTTCCCGTTCTTTCAAATCTGAGCCGACTTTCAAGTTTAACTTTTAGTAGGTTAAATGGAAATCCCCACAAAACACTAAAAGCTAAAAGGCTAAGGGGATGGCTGGGAGCCTGGAAAAAATGATCATTGTTTTCAGCAAACCCAAAAAACACATTAAGGGATCATACCTTTTTCCACAACCCACGCAAAAAAAAAAGGAGCAGTGGCTGTTGTTTGAAAATATTGATAGTTGAAACGAATGGGGAATCAACTCCAAGAAAAGGTCAAGGAATCCGCGGCAGACTGGAAAACAAAGTGTAAACCTGGAACACATCTGAAGTTGAAAGCGGTGCAAAGCAGCCTGCCAAAATCACATATCATCAATCACACCTTTCGCACGTTCAAATAGGTGCCGCAGGCTCTCCTAAAGTTGCGGACAGCTGGCAAGGAAGACACTTTGCTTCCGAGTGAAGTCCAGCTGAACAAATATACAAACTACTTACAAATATGTAAACGTCAACATTTTTCTTGAGCAATAAAGGAGCTCTTGGTTTTGGTTGCACCATCTTTGCAGCGTGTTTTGCCTATTTTTTGCTGTGGTTTGCTGAAAACTCAGTTCCAGCGCCTGGCGCAAAACTCCTCCTCGAGCGTATCAGCCGCACCGCCGTCGAGTGCCCAGGCGATCATCGACAGCTCCTTGACCCCAAAAAAGCAAGAACGGTGAGTGGACAGGCAACAACTCCTAGACTGGCAGTTCGACAAACTTGCGACTTGTTGGCAGGTGCTAGGCTTTGGGTATTGACCCTACCTGCTTGTAGGACAATTATGTGGTCGTCCTTGCGACCGACGTCCAAACGACGCAACGACTGAACAACTCCCCAACAAGCACCCGGGCAACTCAAAAAAATACATCTCCTTACCTGCACCTGAAAAAAAACACTGCTCGGAGGTTTGGACGCCCTTTATGCTGCATGGCCTGCCACCAGCTTCCAAACGCAGAGCGCCCATTAGCGACAAGAGACTGACCAAATAGCTGCTGTGATATGGATGGGTTTGCAGCATCCTCACGCGGTTGTCACCGCAAACCGCGTGTCTAGTGCATCAGCAACTCCGAGGTCCGCTAACATCAAACGAACATGCAGGAGTGAAATGCAGCTTTGTCAGAACGCCGAAAGCCATGACATGAAGTGAAACACGGCAAAGCCACTTTTTGATTGTAATACCAGTTTACTGCATTTCCTATGGTCATACAGCCCATGGATACAATCATTTGAAGTGGAGAGTTCTTCAGATTCTCGGTGGAAGCCACATCAACACCGAGGCTCCAGTGGTCTCAGTGAGTTGCAGCAAACGGATGTTTGCACCACAAAGTAGCAAGAGTTAGTTGATTGCATCCACACGTACGCAGCTTCACCCTTCTGAATGTGCTTCTGCCCTGCTCTCTTCCAACCGCAAGCGGGCAAGCCCTGAAAGCATCACCGAGAACATAAAATATTGTGTTACCAATTTGAGCTCTTATCTTTTCCATAATCCAACATAAAGATGTATCAGTGCGAAATCTATCATGACTGCTATCACCAGCACTCTATCTTGTTTTCACTAATTACGCCCGAGGAATGTCCCCAACAACCCCGGAACGTACCCGAAACCTATCCTCCACCCTCCAGGAATCTAAGGCCAACCTCAGCAATGGGATTTTGAATAGTTGTCAGCTATTTGGAAAAAACAAAAAAACACTGTGAGGTTGAACAGCGTTCAGCGGTTGGGGGAAAAACCGGGGGAAACAAAAAAACTAAATGGGTATGGGTCAAAATTAAACCACCAGGACTTGGACCGCAGGTTTTGGTCTTTGTTTCCATTTACCAGGGCAAGCCATTTTGGGGTTACCCTATTCTTGACAACCACACCCAAATTCTCAGTGTCAGCTGTTTTAGAAAAAACACAAGCAAAAACACACTATGATGTCGAACAGCGTTCAGCTGTTGGAAGAAAAACCGGGGGGGGGGGGGAAACAAATGGGAAAAAACAAATGCCGCGCTTTGCGATTGCTCCCTCCTGCAGGCTGAACTTCGGCAGCCACCGCCGGAGGTTCGCCGCCACGGCGAAGAAGAGCTCGGGCGCCGGGATGCCTGGGGGAGGGGAAGCAGGTGTCGCCCAGCGGCAGTTTTGGGGTCAGTTGTGTGTTTTTGTAAGAAACCCGAGGCTTTTGTCGTTTTTGGGAGCAATGTGTAGAAAACTTTTTGGGTGAGTTGCCTTTTGTGTGCAAACCTTAGGGGCTGTTGTCGTTTTTTTGGGAAAGGTGTAGAAAACCTCGAGTTGTCCGAAACACGCGGGGAAATTCTGGTTGATTGGTTGATTGGTTGGTTGGGGTCGATGCGAACCCAGGATTTCAGCGTGCCACCCAGGTTGATTCATCCAGGGTCGGTATGACTGGCCTAGCTGCGTAACCCAGTGCCAGGTTGGGGCAATCAGGAAGAAGGGCCTCTTCAAAAAAGAGCACAAAGGTCCAACCCAAAAAAAAAACAACCTTGGGTGTCCATTTCTGTTTGGGGAGCTCAGCTCCATGAGCTGGTTTTTGGGATTGGGTCCGGGGTTTAACGGGGCGTTTGCCCCCAAAAACGTGCAGGACGTGGACTTCATGCAACCAGGGACGAATGAACCCCAGGATCCCGTAAACCGCTTTCTCGGTCCTCCGCTTGCGAAAGCGTGGGCAAAGGAACCAGTGCGGGGCAATGCAGCCTGCTGTTTGTCTTAACGCGGGGATTGAAACCAGCGACCGTCATGCCAAGCCGGAGTCTGGCTGGTCTCGGGAAAACCGAGTTCAGACCACCAGGGCCAAGAGTGTGATGGCATGCAATCAACACAACTCGGCATGGGTGTGGAATCTCGTTGAACATGGAGAATCTACAACGTAATGACAGCCTATATGTTGCCCTAATCTCACTTCCTCTGCCGCTGCACAATCGCCTATGCTTCTTGCCATTGACTGGCAACAAATGGAAATCCATTGCAAGTTCCTCTCGAAACATTGCAGGCAATCTGCTATTCGTGCATTCTCTGAAATTTGGGATTGCCTTTCAAAGCATTACATGGAGTCAGCGCAAATGAGAGCTCAAAACGACCAAAAAAATGTCTGACCAAGGGTCCCTTGCAATGGGCGAATGACTTCCTGCAGTTTGAAGATCATGGGAGGTAGGACTCACTAAGCTCGACATATCTGGAAAACTGATTGGAAGTTGTTTGCCTTTGGCCCGGCCGGCACAAGGGGGTGGGCAGCTACAAGTCTGAAATTTGGCCCCGGCCAGCGCCAGTACGAGTCGAGCTGTTGACGAAAAAATGATTGCGACAAAAGATTTAAGAACTCATTATTGAAGACTTCCAGTGTCTTTTTTGAAGATTCTTATGTTGGCCATTGTCGACTTACGGTCTCAGCTTTTGTGGTCTGTCTCAAGTCTCATCATTGATTGTCAGGCAAGAGCAAAAGCCCAAGGTTAGCCTCTATCAAACATCAATCTTTAGGACAATCCTGTTGAAGCCATGACCTCCTGCACTCTGAAGGCAGCTAGTGCTGACGCGCCACCCACGTGGGAATACGCCCAGAGCATGGTTGCCACGTCCTAACAGGAAGGGAGATGAGCAGTCAGGCGTGATGCCTGAGCCCATGTTAGGCCCCGTGGCAAGGAACATGAGCTCCGGTTGGTTTGCCTGCTGGTCTTTGGTTGGTTAAGGTTTGGTTAGGTTGGCTTGGATTGCCTTGCCTTGGGTTGCCTTGGGTTGGGTGGGATTGGTTTGTTTGTTTGGTTGCCTTGGGCTGGGTGGGATTGGTTTGTTTGCTTGGCTGGTGTTGGCATTTCTTGTGGTTGGGTTACCTGCAGTCTACACCGCGAAATCAATAGTGTGCAGCCCGTAGCTGGTCGCTGGATGCAAGTCAATTTGGGGAAGCCTGCAAGCACCACGACAGTTCAAGAGATGTCATCTCGGCCAGTCGAATTTGCAGCCTTCGACTGACTAGACATAGCTGTACGAGCAAGTCGAGGCCAGGAGACAAGGCTTTGGGAACAGCATTGGCCCATGTCGGGTACTCAGCTAGGAGCATTGATGCTCGGGGCCGTACCCAGTCCACATTTCATGTTGCCCAGATTCCTATTTGCCCAGATTCCTACGGCGTCGCTGTTCTTTTTTTTTTTGTGTGTGGGCGTGTGGCGTAATCAGAACGCACACGCACTTGCATTGCCAAGGATTTGCAGAAAACGTCTTTTTCCGGGTGAGCACTCTTGTCATCCTTGTCAAAGCGTTCAGACAGAGAGTAGCAAAACCTGCGGCCTCCAGCCTACTTATGTCAACCTCGAGTAGCAGAAAGCTTTGCGGACAACTACTGGGGTGTTTCCCCCAAACCTCTCTGGAGTTGCACCCCTCCTGCATACGAATCAACAAAGGGATTAATTGATTGCCTGCTTGCTTGCCTGCTTGCTTGCTGGCTGGCTTGCTGACTGGCTGGCTGGTGGAATGCATGCATGCATGCATGCGTGCCTGCGTGCCTGCGTGCGTGCGTGCGTGCGTGCGTGCGTGCGTCATGCATGCATGCATGCATGCATGGACTGACTGACCGACCGACCGACCGACCGACTGACTGACTGACTGACTGCCTGCTGCTCGCTCGCTCGCTGGCTTGCTGGCTTACTTGCTTGATTGGTTGATTGAATAATTGATTGACTGACTGACTGACTTACTGACTGACTGACTGATTGATTGACTGACTGATTGATTGATTGATGGAAGGATTGATTGATTGATTGATTTCTTGATTGACTTCTCGATTGGTTGACTGACTGATTGGATTCTGGCTTGCTTCATTGATTGTCTGATTGATTAATCGATCGATTGAGTGATTGATTGATTGATTAACTGATTGATTGATTGATTGATTGATTGATTGATTGATTGATTGATTGATTGATTGATTGATTGTTTGATTGATTGATTGATTGATTGATTGATTGATTGATTGATTGATTGATTGATTGATTGATTGATTGATTGATTGATTGATTGATTGATTGATTGATTGATTGATTGATTGATTGATGGCTCGATCGAATCATCCAGAAATCTCATTCGTCGGCGCAGTAGTTCAGCAATAGGTTGCGCACAACAGTGAAAGCGTCTTATCTCAAGCCTTCGGCTCCTTCTGCAATGCATCTGCTTGACTTTGAAGAAAGACCCGTGACTCTCGGAAATTCAGCAACAAAGGCACGCTGTTTGTTTGTTGACTGCTTTTTGAAAACACAAATACCACAAAACTATCTCTGCGCAAGAACCCCAATTCGGAGACATGCGCACGTCCACCCTCAACCCGACGGCTCTATGACCGCCCCCTGCCCCTCTCCTGGCAGTTGAAGCCCTGAAGCGTCTCTAAGGCTCTGCGCCCCAAGGTGCCGAACAGGCCCACGGGCCGGTAGCCCAAGGTGGCAAAGGACCTTGGGACTTTCAAGAAAGTGTTTATTTTGCATCTGCAGCAACATGTCTTCGTTTTACAAACTGATTCTGGCTTTACACGTCTTCTGTTTTGCAAGCGAGACCCCTACACTTTTGACAGTGTCAAGGATCCCGAGGGGTTCCCGTCAGCCGTGTCTGGTACAACTTGAAACAAGCCAAGCAAGCCCCTGAACAATACTCAGCTGTGTTCTTGGGATCTGCTAAGGCCGGATGAACATACGCAGACTCGCACCTCCGAAATAAAGATCTAAAGCCCAACCTGATGGATCCTCGATTCACCCTATCTGTCTCGCCATGTAGGCAAATGACCGAGGGAGAACTCCGTGAACCCTTCTGCCATGGTCAAAAAAACGCTCAAGGAACTCGTATCATCGCCGTCTAAAACTCTGGTAAACGAGGGCATCATGCCCTGCCCTGCCGCCAAGGCATACTGGGCGTCCGGCCAGGCCAAGTTCGAGATGTCCCGCGGGCCATAGCAACCTCAGCCGCCATGCAGGCCATAGCCCTGAGATCCCGGCGCCAAAAGCCGATTGAGCAGCTCACTTAAGGCACAGCTCAATCGCATTGTGAATTGGGTTTGGAGAGGTTTGGAGACATTAAACTCTTAAGCCAACGCAATTGAATCTAGCTCGAAACAGATACCGACTGCACACACTCTTACAGATTACATGCATCTTTGAAGTCTCGTTTCAACAGAAAAAACACCCGCAGGCAAGCAGGGACAAACTTCCTCAGGGTCACTCCATCGTTTTCACAAGCTGAGCCGGCCTATGCGTTTGGTGCCAAAGCGACCGATAAAGCCAGGCGCGCGGCCAACCGATGGCAGCACCACATCAGCAACAGCCCGGAAAAGCTCGGGCTCGTCCACGCCTCGCAGGGTTGACTCATCAACTCGGCCGCGTGATCCCGGAGCCGGGGCAAATCGCGGCAACTTGAAAAGTGGGTTGCGACTTGTAGAGCACAGAAAATGACAAGTACTCCAAATGGGCTTTGGTGCACCCAAGATGGTTATAAAGGTCTTGCTTGGCCTTGCTATTACGCGCACGACGCCAGGTTGGCGCTGAATGGCACCAGCGCCCGGCCTGCGGCAGCAAATGCCCAGCAGAGCTGCCCGCTCCTTGGGCCATGCGGGCGGACGGCCTCTTCAAATCCACGCCTGGCGGCCTACTTACCGCTTTCGCAGACATGCCCCAAGTGGTGAGCCTTGGTTTGTAAGGGTGAACAAATTTAGTTGGAGCTCTGAGACAGGCTGGACCACCAAAAAACGCGTGTCTCAGCATTCTTTTTACAAAAGGGAACCCCGCTTCTTCCAGGGACGGGTCCATCTCAAGATGGGGGGGGTCCCCATTTTTGGGCGGTTTCCCAAAGAGGGAGGTCCCCCGAACAAAAGACAAGCCCAGCTTCCCCCCCCCCCCCCCGTCCCCCCCTTCCCCGCCAGCCGCAGCGCAGGAACCGCGCGTCGAAGCCGCCGCGCGAAGCCGTCAACGCTCTCCGCGCCGCCTGCGCCACTGCTGGCAGCGGCGCCGGGGACTTGAGCCTAGAGCACCGGATTTTGGGGCCTGGGATCAGCCGGGATCAGGGAATCCCAAAATGGGAAATGTGTGTTCCCTTGGATTCCCTTTCAAGTATCAAACAGATATCCCTGTCAAGGAAAGCCCTCTTTGGATGTTGAAGCTTTCCCTTTCGGGCATGGGCGCCCATTCCATGGATTACTTTGGAGGAGCGAATGATTTGGAATGATTTGGTGGATGTTATTTGCCGGGGAGTGTATGTGTCCGCGAACCCACCCACCAGGTAACCATTATTTCAAGAGTTCCGACCAGTAGAACAAACAACCCAACCATTTGTTCCAGCGTTCCAACCGTCAAAACTCAAAACCCCACCCTTAGTTCAAGTGCTCCAACCATGCAAACTCGCGAGCCAACCATTTCGAGCATGCCAACAACCAAACCTCAGAACCCAACCGTTTGTTCGAGTGCTCAAACCATCAAAATCATACCCCAACCAATTCTTCGACTGTTCCCATAACCATTTCGGTAGGAAGCCTTACGCCGACTGCAACTGAGGGGCACGGCAAAGGCCCAGGCGAAGCAGCATAAGTCCTTGGGGATGGCTCGGGGGCACCTTGGCCAACCGGTGGCTGTGGTTGGTAGGTTGGTAGGTTGGTAGGTTGGTAGGTTGGTAGGTTGGTAGGTTGGTAGGTTGGTAGGTTGGTAGGTTGGTAGGTTGGCAGGTTGGTAGGTTGGTAGGTTGGTAGGTTGGTAGGTTGGTAGGTTGGTAGGTTGGTAGGTTGGTAGGTTGGTAGGTTGGTAGGTTGGTAGGTTGGTAGGTTGGTAGGTTGGTAGGTTGGTTGGTAGGTTGGTAGGTTGGTAGGTTGGTAGGTTGGTAGGGTAGGTTGGTAGGTTGGTAGGTTGGTAGGTTGGTAGGTTGGTAGGTTGGTAGGTTGGTAGGTTGGTAGGTTGGTAGGTTGGTAGGTTGGTAGGTTGGTAGGTTGGTAGGTTGGTAGGTTGGTAGGTTGGTAGGTTGGTAGGTTGGTAGGTTGGTAGGTTGGTAGGTTGGTAGGTTGGTAGGTTGGTAGGTTGGTAGGTTGGTAGGTTGGTAGGTTGGTAGGTTGGTAGGTTGGTAGGTTGGTAGGTTGGTAGGTTGGTAGGTTGGTAGGTTGGTAGGTTGGTAGGTTGGTAGGTTGGTAGGTTGGTAGGTTGGTAAGTTGGTAAGTTGGTAAGTTGGTTGGTAGGTGCCAGCCCAAAAAGTATCTTAACCTGCTTGATCCACCACTCTTCCCAGCGTGGGCTTCTCGCCCAAGAGGTTGGACCCGTGGCCCTTGACGTAGGGGAAGCTTGCGGCTTGGGTTCTTGGGTTCGCCGTCCCAAGCCAAAGTCGGCCACAATCTCACGAGTCAAAGTCCTGAGGCTGCCACAACGCGATGCACCTCAGGGGCAAAGAAGCTTTCTCGTTTTCTCTCTCTCTCTCTCCCTCTCCCTCCCTCCCTCCCTCTCTCGCTCTCTCTCTCTCTCTCTCACTCTCTCTCTCTCTCTCTCTCTCTCTCTCTCTCTCTCTCTTCTCACTCTCTCTCTCTCTCTCTCTCTCTCTCGCGCTCTTTCTCTCTCACTTTCTCTCTCTGGCTGACCTCCCATTTTGGATTCCTGTAGCTTCTTTTGTACTGTTCAAATCAAGGCTGGCATCACAAGCCACTCGAACCCTGGGCCTCGGCGAGGCAGCGGCCAGAAACTCACCCACAGCGTCTGCCTTGCCGGGAGCGGACTCACGTCGCTCTCATGCACTGCACGCATTGTGTCACCAGCTCATGGGATTTGATTTATATGAGGCGTGGTCAACACTCACTGTTTCCTTGACAAACATGGACATTTGCTGAGTAACCCTCCTTTTTTGCAGTGGTGATTTGGTGAGGGTGCCTCATGTCGTCCCCAAACCGTGGGTTGCTCAGATCCACTGCGGCCTTTGTTGTCTGCGCCAGGGCCTGCAGAAGGTTCGCCAAGTCCTGACAGCCGGCAAGGTCCTTCCACGGAAGGAACATCATGTTCATTGCCTGTGCGTTGAAGGCTGCCGAGTCAATTTGTCCCGCGTGTTGTCCGTTTCAAGATTGGAGCCCTGGGCCCTAGACGCGCCTTTTGGACCAGTTGCTTGCCGTGACCCATGGCTGAAAGTGTTCGTTTCCAAGCAGCCGCAGTGCGAAACCGTGTGGTGAACAAAGCTTGTCGCAAGAAACCCACACCCTGCATCCTGCAGTCATGACAAATACGCGCCATGAGTAGGGAAACCCTGTCCTGAGCTTCAAACTCATCGATCTTCCTGGCTGTGCACAGCACTTCCGCCCCCCCAGCCCACCGAGCCAAGTACAAGGATCGGATCTAAATTGGAGGCCCTTTGGTGGACAGCATGGGACATCATCTAAATGGGGATGTATGTCCAACAACCTTTTGTGATGGGGTTGCAAACATTCAGTTTTACCAGGTGTTCGTGCACTAAAACCCTGACTCGTCATTGGCCATCGCATCCGGCCTCGGTTTCGGGGGATTGGCCAATGAGCGGACGGCACACGTCCTGTGTTTTGTCGCACTACCCACCTCTGACACAAGACTAGCTGACGATGTTCAAACCCCAAAGGTGGATTGCATAAAAAAAAAAAAATGATGCAACCCAAAAATGCGCGAGTCTCAGATCCATCAAAGTGACGGGGCAAAGCGTCAGCCAGGACTCCGCAACTTACAAATCCCTCCAAACTCTTGGTGTTTGAGCCGAGGGGGAACACCCTCAACTCGACCTGTCCCCAAATCCATGAAAAACCGGAATTGAAAGTTATTGGACCCCCCCCTTGCTGGCTCCCCCCTTCCCCCCCTCCAACCCCAAAAGCCCGAAACCCCCCCCCAAACCCGCCCCCGCCGCTTGCTCCCGCTGCCCTCCTGGCAGCCTCTCTGGCGAGCTCAGGTAGCAGCTCTGCGGCCAGCTCTTCGTCCAGCACTGGGAGCTGTCGCTCGGGCAGAAATGAAAGGCGCGGGGGGGTACCACCCTCCCTCCCACCCCCGGAAGAAGAAACTGCCCCCCCGCCCAAAAAAACAAGAGAGCAAAACCGCTGAGGCGTGTGGGTGGGGCCCCCCTTGGTTGGTGCGTTTTAGGCCTCTATATGTTGACAACCCAGCGGTGCAAATGCGTTTACTTCACAACCTAAAGGGGCACGCAACTTCCCTTGAGATACTTCAGGGCAAAATGATATAACTCGCAAAACCAGAAATGAAAGAGTCCCAAGCAAAGGGCCTTCAACAAATTGGAACAAGGCAAACCACCAATCCACGGGCTCACATAACTGTGCACACTCATGGCTATTAAAATTACTAGGGAAGCCTTCAAACACGGGGCATAAATCCACATGCAAATGATGTCCACCAAAGAGACCCCAATCAAAACCGCATGCCATCACTCTCTTCACACTCCCGGGAGACTGATCAGGCTTCTGCCTGTAAAATGCTTGCAAGGCACAAAGCGAAGACTATCGACACCGGCTGTGGCCTCAACTTGGACCCGGTGCAAGCACATACTATACATCAAAAGGAAATGGTAAGTAATGTGTATAATGTGTATATACATAGAATAATATACATATAATACCTGGCTCAATTACACAACACAAGCACCAACCCCATACCTCTGACAAACCTGCCCTACCTCCCGAACCAAGGTTGGGTCAACCAACTATTCAAGCATCCCCATTGAATAAAACATCCGCATTAAGGTTCCTTCAAAAGAAACCAAGGTCCAATTCTAAAAAACAATTTGCCCCTGACCCTACCACGGCCCAAAATCCCTGCAACAAGCCCCATTTGAGCTGAAAACCCCCTTGCACCGCCCCACGAGTCATTGCCATGGCTGATCCTTCAGCTGAGCCGTGGTCAACACTCTCGTGTGGGTCATGGTCGTGGTTCCCTTTTTAGTACTAAGGTGACGGTGTGGGCCATGGTTCCCTGAAACAAACAACCAATACACCTAGCTCGGTTGCATCATCATCGACCAGGGGGCCTAAAGCCACATGAGAACTCGGCTCCAAAACTGGAGATACTGAATCACCTTGTGAGATGGTTTTGTTGTCAGGGGAGCTCGTTCCAAGTTGGCCTGGCACAATGGTGCCAAGGAAGCACCCGGGTCAGGTTCCACGGGAACATGCGTGGGAGGATACAATAATTCATCTACAAATCCCGAGTGCAGGACCCACATCATTGCGACTATGCCTCCACACCCCTCGTTCCGCGCCTGCTGCCTGCGCCACCTTCGACAGGCCCGACGCCTGCAGCCTTGAGCCCCGCACCCTGCGGGCGAGCGCCCGCAGCAGCGGGCGGTGCCGATGGCCTCGGCGCCAAAGTTTCGGGAAAGGCTCGGACCAGGGAGGGGAGAGGGGAGGGGAGGGGAGGGGAGGGGAGGGGAGGGTCTCCCAGGTTTTGATCGTCAGTTGAAGTTGAGCTTGATGTTGATGTGGCGCGTCTTTTCATTCTTGGAGAAGTCGGTGATAGGTGTACTTGATGCAACGAAATCCCATCCACGGCAGCTCAAGATGTCCTGGGTTGGTCAGGAGCTCTGTGCTGCTTGAACGGCTTGATTGCTATATTGAAGCCGAGGGAATCTCTGGCTTATGTGCCTTTTGGCGGGGGTACGTGCCTGTGCCAGCACGCACACTGGTAGTGGGTGTGGGTTTGGGTGGGTGGTGTCAGAGCGCGGAGGCGTGCGGGCGTGGGGGGCGCGGGGTGGTGGGGGCATGGGGGTGTGGAGCGTGAGGGTGTGGGTGTGTGCGTGCGCGTGCGCGCGCGTGTATGCGCGTCTGCACGTCTGCTCGTGCTCGCAACTGCACGTGCACATGCCTGTGCCCCTGCGCGTGTGCGTGTGCGTGCGCGTGCGCGTGCACATGCGCGCGCATGTGCGTGTGCGTGCTGGTGCGTACGCGTGTGTGCGCGTGTGCGTGGGCGTGGGCGTGTGCGAGGCCGGTTCCAGCTTCTCAATGCGTACCTGCTGTATGCCATGTCTTTTCGATCCGCTTGGTTGGGAAGCTGCGTGTGCTTCTTGTTCAAGATTGTACCGATTTTGTGACAAGAGGAAAATCCACGAAAGCCTGCCTCTGCACGCAAGCCTGTCCAAGAACTGAAGAGCCGAACAAACCCAATCGATTGAACCCCGCTCGAAATGTCATTTTCCCGAATTAGAGCTTTCCGCCCCACTTGGGGATGTGCTTTTGCGACAAGCTGAGGTAGCCTTATCCTTTTCGTGCGAGCATTGTCAGTCAGTCATGTGGTTTGTGCTTCCGGAAATGCCAAGCCACAAGCGTTCATGTCACCCAAGATTGAAATTGTGTTGATGGATAGCGCTGATTGCCTTCGGAGAAGAAGGCCCCAAGTCTTCAGGGCCGACAGGTCGCTTCACGGTGTTGTCTTTCCATGTAATTAGGCTCCACTGGGTAACCACCAAGGGTCATCCCGAAGCAGCAGTCAGCCGGCCACCTGGCGCCCAAAATAGCTTGCTTTCTGCTCGTGCTCGCAGCAACCAAAACGAGATCCCTGCGTTTGAGCTCGGCTGAGGCCGATGGCCGGCGCGCGCCCAGGCAAACGCCACTCCCGCCACATCCGCAGCAGACAGCTCCTGTGGCAGCTGAACCGAGGCGTTTGGAAGCCGCAAAATTCGTCGACTGAGTCGACTGAATCTTGGGATTGCTTGCCACTTCTTCCCATTTCAGACACAAATTGCTGTCTTTTTCGCCCCGCCTCTGTCGGTGTGCCCCAACCACGCTTGATGTGAAATTCAGCCGACGGCCGAGGAGACTGTGAATTTCGGCCAACACATTCGTAAAATTCGCCACAGATGTGAAATTCAGCGGCCAGGGTTTGGCAGCAGAGCATGTCCATCCCGACCATCCCAACCATCCCAACCGTCCCGAGCCTCTCAACCATCTCGACCCTTCTCAACCCTCCCAACGATCCCGACCATCCCAACCGCACCTATTCCAACCTAAATCCCGAGCATGCCAACCAGGATTCCAACCGGCCAACCCCCGACTGTACCGACCAACCTTGAAGCCTAAACCAACCTGGCTCCACCTCAAACCCACCCTAAACCCTTAAAGCCAATTCTAAACCCTGGACAAAAACTAGAACCACCCAAAACCAACACCAACCCTGAAACCACCCTAAGCCAACCCTTAACCAACCCTCAAGCAGCCTTAAACTCACCCTAAACCACCCCAAACACCACGCCTAAACCAACCCCACCATCCCCACCACCCCAACCACCCGGACCGTCTCAACCATCCCGACCCTCCCGGCTATCCTGAAAGCGGCCATTTTCCGAATGCGCGCTCCTGTTCTCTACATACGACAATGTCTGATTCTCACGCCGCTATCTTCCGGTTTTTGCTTGTCTGATTCTCGCGTCCGCTTTCTGAAAGTCGCTTGCCCCCCCCCCGGCTTCTCACACACACACACATCCCTCTCTGAAGGCTCCTCCTGGCGCCGCACCAACTCGTCGCCCATCCTCTTGAAGAGCTGAGCCTCGCTTCGCCCCGCAACGGCCAGCGCCCAGCCGAATCTCCTGGCCCGTTTTTCGGCAGCTCATGCACTCGGATTGGCAGCTGGCAATCTAAGGATACCCTAATAAGACCTGCGAAGCTTGGTCATTCTTTGAAGAAAAAAAAACAGGCACCTGCTCAAGCAGGCAATGAGCGGCTGTGGCTGCAGAGGCTAACAACCCCATCAGGATTGACAATGCTGGCTCCCACATCAGCAAAGGGACAACTGCACTGAAAATGCCTGCTCGCAGTGTCCTCACCAAAGATTCGGTGAAGTGTTTGCTGGCTCGGGAGTTAAGATGGATAGCCCACACCCATGCCGTTCGAAGAGATGGTCCTACCACAAATTCCTCAAGTGCGGAACATTCGCATTCCTGAATATACGAAGTACGACAAACTCCCCCCCACCCCCCACCACATGGGGGCTTTGTTTTGGGGACCCATTTGTTTTGCCTTGGTTGAAGAGAATCCAAAAGCAAGTCACCCATTCATTGGACTCCCTCATTTAGAGACACACCGACATGATGGATTAGCCGACTACCACAGCGTCTTGCCACGGGAGCAAGCTGCGAAAGAGACATGGCAACTTGCCCAATAAAGCACAGAGAACAAAAAAGGCGCCGCTGAGTGCCGCTTGGCCTGCACATCCAAAATCCATGGAGGATGTTTCCCAGTTGAACACCACCGCCATCTTTCGGCAGACTTCTCCAGCCCCACCGCAAGGGCCCCAAGGCACCAGTCCTCAGGTCGCACACCGCCATCTCGCCGGGCGCCTTTCAGACTTCAGACCGGGCGGATTGACAAACAATGAGATCTGGCAACCGGAAGTTGTTTCTGTGCCCAGAAATTGTCCCTTTCGTGTGGCCCTTTAAGAATCACAAGGACACCATATTAAGTGTAAAAAACAAAAAAAAGCAAGGAAACCAATTTAGGAGTTTCCCACTTTAGGATGCACCTGACTACTTGTCCGCCGTCATGGTAAAACTTGCCTGGCGAGACTGGAGTACGGGCTAGTTTGCTTTTCGAGTGCCCTGGCCTCGTCCAGGCGACGCTCCATCTCAGTGCAAGCGCCTGACGTCAATTATTGAACATGGCAAAAAGTGAAACCACGGCAAGCCCTGCGGCCATTCCAACCCCGGCCACAAAGTCGTGCGCCCTTTTTCTGGACCAACCCGCGTCTCTCGATAGGTGCATCTTGCTGGAGGGGACGTTGACCATTCTGGGTACAGCAAATTAGTTCACAATTCGCCTGCCTGGAATATGACACGAGCACTGAAGCCTGGCTTCACCCCAAACCATGCGACGGAGGCGGGTGGCGCTGTCCCGTCAGTTTTCCTGGGTGCTAAATAGGTGGTCCGGAACATTCAACACCCTTTTGGTTTCCCGGGCAAAGCAGTCTCGCACCCTAACCTTCACTTCCCCAGGTGGCACATACAACCTTCGACCCTTCGACCCTTCGATCCCACGCGCCTGCCGGCAGTGGCAGCCGCAGCTTCGACAGCGCCCAAAGGCTCTCCGCCAGGTCACGGCTCTCCGCCTGCTGTGGAAATGAAGCTGGGGATTTTCGGAGTCACGGATCCAACTTCTGGTGGGAATCCAACCAACTCATTTTCTAGGGCCAGGAAAATGATTCCAACTCATTCCCCGAGCAAATCAAGATGGATACATGGCCCATGCGGAAGCGAGCTTTCCGCTTTGAAGGGCAATGACCGGGGTCTAGCAAAATGATAAGGGCAATTGTAGCCCTTAGCCGGCTGCTTTAAGCATTGCTATTGGATGGCCACCTGAAGTTTTGGGCGCTGACGCAATGAAAACCAGGGATTGGTCAGCAAATGCGAGGACCTTGAGATTTGGAAGGGCTGGTCAGCTGCGTCCTTGCCGCGCATGTTGCCGTCCAGCATAACGCTCATGCTACTAGGTTGGAAGGATTCACAATAGACCGTACTAGGGGATTCAAACAGGCTTCTTACACACATGTGCGTGCGCTCTCACCTTTCATACCCCTGGCAACGACAAACACGATCCTATTTGAGTTTGTCCTAAGGGATTCGCACCATGCACAAGGCTCCGTTTCCGCCGGAGAGTTCTAACCAAGTCTTCTTTGTGGTCCCTTCGAAAACAACCTACAAAACGGGTGCCCTCTAACAAGCCACTCCACAGGAACGCCGCAAAAACAAACAAAAGTAAAACTGAAAGGAGAGCTCGCCAAAACCATAACAACAAGGTACCGAGAACTTAACTCACACACACACACACACAACACGCACACGCACACGCACACGCACACGCACACGCACACGCACACGCACACGCACACGCGCACGCGCACGCGCACGCGCACGCGCACGCACGCGCACACGCACACGCACGCGCACACGCCCACGCACACGCGCACGCGCACGCGCACCACACACACCACACACACCACACACACACACCACACACACCACACACACCACACACCACACACACCACACACACCACACACACACACACACACACACACACACACACACACACACACACACACACACACACACACACACACACACACACACACACACACCACACACACCACACACACACACACACACACACACACACACACACACACACACACACACACACACACACACACACACACACACACACACACACACACACACACACACACACACACACACACACCACACACAACACACACACACACACACACACACACACACACACACACACACACACACACACACACACACACACACACACACACACACACACACACACACACACACACACACACACACACACACACACACACACACACACACACACACACACACACACACACACACACACACACCCGCGCGCGCGCGCGCGCTCGTGCTCGTGCAGCCCTGCGTGCTCGTGCAGCCCCGGCGCCGAGCCCCGGCGCACCTCAACCTCCCCCAAAGCCACGCCGCAGCGGGCGGCCAGGCGCATCACCGCCGCCGAGTCTTGCGTTCCCAGGCGAGGCGCCTCAGATTGAAGCCGCGTGAGGGGTCGGTCGGTTGGTCCGGTTGGAGTTTGGGGTGCGGTATTTCTTGTCTAAATTCTAAGTCGGCTGGAGTTTGGGCGCGTTTTGGACGGTTGAAACCCATTGGGTTGATGGCTTCAACGGATTCCAAGTGGCTTGGAGCCCGGGTGTGGTCCCCCGCATTGGGTTTGATCATTGGGTTCAAACCCCAAGCCCCCAATTCAAGCCACCAAGGGACAAGGCAGACAAAGTTCAGTCACCTGCCAAGTTTTTGCCAAATGTCTGCCAGTGCCAAATTGATTTCAGCTAGCACCCATCCGACAACAACCCCGGTGTCCTTTTTGGCAAAATAGATGGCACTGGTAAATGATTTGGACCAAACTGAAACCAGTGCATTCTGTTTGCTTGTATTTTGTTGCCTAGGTCGATCTACTCAAACAGTGCACACGGGGATTTCCCGGCTCCACTTTGTTTCAGCCACCAGGTGACCGCAGAAAACCTTCATGAAAACAAGTGGCGGGTACTTTGGGAGAGGCCAAATCGGGCAGGGCTGATCAACCGTCCAGGAATTCTTAATCAAGCAAGCACATCCGCGGCTTCTGGGCGCCAGAAGCGACTCTTGGCTTTGAGAAACTGGTCAAGAAGCAGTGGCAAGCCAACACGCAAGCCAACAGAAATTCTGCACCCCGAGAACAAGGTTGAACCCTTGAACTAAGCATGGGTTAGAACTGGTCCTGCTTCCCGCCCGCAACCCGGGCACCCAAACCCGGCGCACACGCAAAGTGGTGTGTCTGTTATTCCACATACCACAAGGATCCTCTTTCCCCCCCCCCCCTTTCGGCACAAGCCGGGCATACTTTTGAGGGAAACCTACGCTTTCGGGGAGCCCAAACATCTTTCTGAGCAGGTGGTCTACAAAGGACCAAGCTGGGAGTTTATAAGCATAAATCCCAAAGGAAAGACTTATCCATAGCTCGGCTCCAAATGTCTTCCATCGCCAGATGGGTCTTCCACCATAAGTTGGTGAGGTTGTGTGCCCTTGAAAGTTGCTCACACCCATTGCTCCACTCACCCCCCACAGGCGCACCTGAGAACAGGAGAAGACACGTGTCAGATCCTCATGCATGCCTTGGACAAGTGCTCTTTGCTTTTTTTTTGCGGGGTGAAGCAACCCTTGCAACCCTGGTGGTTGTCTCAAAGTGGGAGCTTGCAAGTTCAGCTGAAGCAGTCAAGCTTGTGTGAAGGATCCCTATCATGATTGTCTAGACCATCAAAGTTGCCACACTTGCTGACTTCCCAAAGCTTAGGTGGTTGGTTTCCTTTTGGTGTCCCTTCAGAACCGGCCGAAACGGAAAGAATCCTCCTCCCGTGACCAGACCGACCAGACGCCAGGTACACCGCCGCAACCAGCACCGCCCGGAGATGTTCCGGGCCCAGCCGGCCCTGCAGGACGAAGGCCTCCTTAGATTGGCCCGCGCTGGGTATCCCAAAACCACATCCTCATGTAAACCAGCTGGGTATCCCAAAAACCACATGGTATCCGCTGGGGAAGTGGGAATCCTCCGCTGGAAAAAGTGACGTCCAAACGGGACAAAAAAAATCCTTGGGACCCTGAGGATGGCGAAGATGTTTCGCAAGGCGAACCAGCCTGGCTAAAGGCGAATCAACACGAGCTTCCAAGGGGTGAAGCCTCCCAGCAAAACCTCAACGGAAGGCAACGTCCGAATGTTCTTCAGAACAAGAAAGGCCTTCAATCAGGCCAGCTCCATGTAGCAGTTGCATACTTCCAGGCTGCATGTGCCTGCACCCATGTAGAAACCCATTGAAGCCCGTCACTGTCAAATGGAAGGATCATTCAGCAAAGCAAATGACCAAGCCTACTCGCATCCCAAGCATGGGTGCATTGCTCAAGGGCCTCTTCCTTCAGCATTCCAAACATGCAGCTCCAGCTTGGTCTAGTTTCCCAGCAGAGGATTTAGAATGAGGTCCCGGAAGCGGGGGGGCACAAGAATGGAGATCTCCAAAATGGGGCCTTGAAAGCAATCCCAAGGTCTCCCCGCAAAAAAGAATCAAAGCACACCCAAAAGCGGTGGAATCCTCGTAGCCCCTCCCCCGCAACCCCTCACCCGGACACCGGTCACTCACCGAGCTGCCAAGCGCTGCGCCAGCGCCGCGCTCCCGTCTTTGGGCCCAACCCGCTGGCCTTTCGGCCCTCGGCGCGCTTGAGGGAGACCGCCCACCGATTGAGTCCGGAAATCTGAGGCATCCTTCGCATTTTCGATCTTGAAGCAGGCTATGTGGGTATGGGGCGCGAGGCGCGAAGCGTGCCTGCTCAAAGAAAACAAACTGTGGATGTCGGAACTGGGAATCAAAGTAGATGTCCTGGTTCGTCCCGAGCATGTGACATGTCACACAATGCTTCTCGAATGTACGGGTGGGTTTCAAGTCAGGGCAAGCCTAGAAGTTGCAAGCTTGGCTTTCGGCACTTGAGATGGGTCCACCACACAGCGTGACATCAAGTAGTACACCTCTCCAAGCTAAAGCTAGCGCATGAGGGTCTGCGTTTGCCAAGGAAGCAAATTGGGGCGTGTTGGCCGTAGAGTAGCAAAAAGCATCCAAAACACAGAAGCCACTAAGCCTGAACACTAAATACAATCCAACAATTCCAAGCCACCAATCCAAGCCGCCAATCAAACCTATAACTACTTTTGGTAGCCTGTGTCATCCACATGAAACGCTCGGAGCCACGTGGGACTCCTTCTGCGCTGCCAAGCTGCTCCGGGCCAGGTGGCGAAAACTGTGCACTGCGGACTCCAGGGACGTTTGACGTCGATAGGTGGCCTGACTCGCCGAGCAAAGGGGTTGGGAGGGCCATCACTAAAACAACTATGGATGAAAGCCAGGAAACTGAAAAGCACAGCCTGGCTAGGAAATGACCACGAAAAGTGGAGTTGGCCCCTTTCGTAAGCCAAGAACCAGTCAAAATCGGAAAGCAAAATCACACCGCACCCGGCGCATTTTGAAGTAGTGAAAATAAATCGGACCATGGGCGTCTCTATTTGGAGCTGCAAACAATGAACAGAAATCAGCCTTGCGCGCTTATCACTTTGTCTGTCCATGATGGCTGTCCATAGCGTGCCAAAACGCAAAAAGGACAAACTCAATTCAGGACCTCTCAACGGAAAGCGAGCATGGCTCCACACGAGCCCGGTGATTTGCGGTTTGCTTGCGGCAATGGGCTTTGGAAACGTCGTGTCCTTTTCGTTGCCTGACTCCCACAAAAGTGAGTTCTCCATGCAATTCTCAAAAAAAACACGACCACATCCCGTCCAAATGGGCTCAGGCGCCTGACCGAGGCCAGCGCTCCCTTGCCGCCAGGCCAATGAGTGCCTTGAGAAGAGGCACATGTGGACTTGTCTCCTCACAAAATGGTTGGGTTCCCTTTCGTCACCCGGTGAAACAACCAAAACAAGGTTGGTGTGTGGTTTGTTTTCTTTCACTGGCCCTGTTTGTTTCCTCACCCCAAGTTCAACACAGGGTTCTCCGTGTGCATCTCAACAGCTGTCCTCGAACAAGCACATACACGCACACGCACGCACGCACGCACGCACGCACGCACGCACGCACGCACGCACGCACGCACGCACGCACGCACGCACGCACGCACGCACGCACGCACGCACGCACGCACGCACGCACGCACGCACGCACGCACGCACGCACACACACACACACACACACACACACACACACACACACACACACACACACACACACACACACACACACACACACACACACACACACACACACACGCACACACTCAGACTCCCGAGGGAGGGTGCTAATCTTCGAGTTGGATCGCATAGCTTCGTTGGGCAACGTAGGAAGGTTGCCCCCCTGCGGTGAAACTGTGGGTCTCTGTGTGTTGGTCAGAGACTCTGCACACACACACACACACGCCCTGAAGGAGGGAAGACCCCAACAGAAAACGAAACAGAGCAAGAGAAACCAAAAGGAAACAGAAAGGCCCCACATGGGCCTCGCGGGCAAAACCCCAACTAAGAAACCAGCAAGGGTCGCCGAGGGCAACAACCCAACACAGAGCCCTCCTCACCTTGTAGACGAAAAAGACCGAGGTGACCAGCCAGAAACAGGGGCCAGGGAAAAGAACAGGATAGAGCAGAAGAAGAAGCCTGAAGAAGAGAGGGAAGCAGACCAGGAAGAGGAAGCGCAAAGGGGCCAAGAGCAAGATGACCACAAGCCAACGGAGGAGGAAGAAGACTTCAAGCCAAACTGCGTGAGGGGAACGAGGAGCGCAAGCTAGAAGGCAAGCAAGAGGAAGAAGAGGAACAGATAAACAGCTGGTGGGGCCCAAAAGGAAGAACACCAGCAAGCGGAAGACGAAAGTTGATCTCCGGCCAGTTCAGAAGGCACATCCATAACGGCGCATCCTGCCAAGACTTGCCTGCTCCAAAAGAGCCCCCCCGCAAAAAAGAGCATCGCCCAAGTCAACAAGAAGCGAGCCTCCTCAACAGCCAACACTTGCAGCAGAACCACCCGAGCCCATTCCGGGCTTGTGGCAAGGTTGGAGAACCAACCTGGTTGATCTTGATCCTGCCAGTAGTCATACGCTTGTCTGATCTGTTCCCCCGCGCGCTTGGAGCCGCAGCGACGGACGGCCCCCAATTGCAAAGGCTTTCCCCCCACGCAAAACCTCGACACAGCCGCGGGGGCGAAAAGCCGTTGTTTGAAAGGAGAAGCTGTAGGATAGTTTGAAAAAGCCTAAACCCTACAAGGCGCAGTGTGCAAAGATTGGCGCACAGTGGAAAAGGTAAGACAGGGCAGGGCGGCCGTTCAGGCCCCCGCTGTCATCTGCGCTCGAGCGCTGAGCCCAAGAGGCAAGACTGCCCCGACAAATACTCTTCTTGCATTTGTATCTGTTTTCTTTTTGGATACTTTCGCATACCTAATTCCATATCAGTCGCGCTACTGCTGCTATGCCTCCAATGATAGATATTCGTCTTGCATTTGTATCTATTTTCTTTGATTCCCGGACATTTGTGCAAACATGTTTTGTAAGTTTTGTCAACGCAATGCTCCAGGGTCAAAGCTGAGCGACGTTGAGGTCAGCTGGCCACGGCCAAAATCTGAAGCATCTAATCTTCCAATGGCTGCGCTGGGCTTGTGGATATGACCATGCCGTAAAAGCCGCAGTCGGCGCTATTTTGTTCCAGCTGAGGTCTGCTAGAGTAGGGCCCAAAAAAAGTTGGCGACCATGCCAGGACAAAGTGCGAATGGTTGTGGAGCAAACTTCTTGCCCAGGACCATGGGCCAGAGCCCTGCCACTGGTCGGTTTCGCACTTCAACACCGACGACAGAATATCTCCAAGTTCGCCCTCTCCCAGTCACTCACACTTTAGCTTCAATCAATCGAAGCTCCGAGCAACTGCCCTGTTTCGTCCTGGGCTATGAAGCAGCTCTGGGGTCAGCTATCTCAGCTACGCCGCCCGCACCTTGCGAACAGCCATAGTGACCTGATCCTCCTCCAGCTCCAAACGAGAAAGCTCCACAAACGTGTTAACAGTTTTGACCCTGCATGTGGCGCCACTCCTCTTTGGCCCAAGAATAAATCCCGGAGCAGGAGGATGAACAACAGGACAACGAGACAAAAAGACAGCATATACGTTCCAGCATACCACCCGCCACCAACCACACATCCAGGGCAGGCAAGGAAGGGTCCACGGTCTGGGAGATATATATATATATAGAAATCCAGCCACCGGATGCCTGGCCCGCAATAGCGCCAAGATGGCCCAGCTGCATGCTTCCAAAAAGCCAATTTTTGCATCCTTTTGCCATCCTTTTTCCACTCATTCCATCTATGCATTTTTCCAGGAACTTTCCATTAATTGTTCATACATTCTCAATCCGTCTCTTTTCTGTCCATTTTCCGCAATTTTTCATCAATATCCCTTCATTTCCCTTCTTGGTCCATTTTCCAGCAATTTTCCATGAATTTCCCATCCAATTTCCATACAATTCCCATCAAATTTGCATCCAGTTAACACTGCTCTTTTTTCCATCGTTTCCATTTCGTTCCATCCATCCATTTTCCATGAATTGTCCATTCGTTCTCCCTACATGTTCCATCAATTTTCCATCAATTGACAGCTACATGTCCCTTCATTTCCCCACATGTCCTTTTGCCGGCGTGGGCAACATCCCTGCATTTGCATCATCTGCATCAATGTCCGCCAAGGATGCGGGTGATGCAGGTGATGCTGGGGATGTTGTCCACTACGGGCACCCCCCAAACGGTCGGCTCATGGTCGGCGGCAGGGGGCGCCGCCCCTTGCACCGGAAGATCTCCTTGAGGGTGACCTTTTTGCCCTCTTGGCTGCCGAACTTGAGCCTCCAATGCTTGAGCCGCTCGGTATCGTCACACATGGCCTTGAGTGGCTGGTGCGTCCGGTAGCCCATGAACTTCCGCAGAAGCTTACCCTTGACCTTGCCGAGGCGGGTAGCAAGCAACGCAAATGGCCAGCGCACTCACGCCCTTGACGCCCGCAATCTTCTCCACCAGCGGCTTCAGGACGATCTTCTTGGTCTTGGGCGCACTGCTGGCAGTTGAACCAGACCGCCTCCGAAGATGAAAAACTGATGGAAGATAGGTAGAAAAACTCGTAAAACCTTAAACTATTGAAATCTTGATTTGTTGTGAAATTGTCAAATCTTAAAATCGTAAAATCTTAGAACTTTACAAACTTAAAATCCTAAAATCTTAGAATCTGACTATCTTAAAACTCTTCAATTCTTATAATATTGAAATATTGAAGTCTTACGGTTTTAAAAAATCTTAAAATCCGAAAATCTTCAAATCTAAAATTGTGGAACCTTAAAATGGACAATGGATTGAACATGGCCTGGCTTGAAACCTAAAAACCTTCAAATGTTGAAAACCGCAGAATCTTAAAATCTTAGCATCTCAAAATCTTAAAATCTTAAAACCATAGACTGGCAGTGGGTGGGTCGGTGGGTGGGCGGGTGCAGGAACGGGCCTGACGGGCTGGGTTCTCGTTGGCCGGCTGTATCGCGTAGCGTGTAAATATACACACACACACATATATATATATATATATACGCATACACAGACTTGTCCTACGCGCTGCTCTGGTAACTTTAGTGAAACCTCGTTCCTGATTAAATGGCGTAATGCCGCTTGGCTAGTGATCCAAGCGCTGAGGTATAATTTTCTGGCAAAGCCGGCCCAAGGCCACGCAATGGGTACACCCGAGGGTCCCCCTGGACGGGGTGAACACACTTAGACTCCCGAGGGAGAGTCCTGATCTTCGAGAAAGATCGGGTTCAGCTTGGTAGGTTCCGAGTGCAACGGCTCAGCCGGCAAGACCGTCAGAATTACTGCAGGTACAAGCTCACGCGTCCGTGAACCCTTCCACCCGTCTTCCATAGCTTCGTTGGGCAACGTTGGAAGACGGGTCGTTGCCCCCCTGCGGTGAAACTGTTGGTCTCTGTGCTGGTCAGAGACTCTGCACACACACACACACACACTTTTCAGACGCGCACCGAGCCACTGAACGTTGAGGGGTCCGGCAAGAGTTCAAGCCGAAACGAAGCGTTCGAGGCTATGTACACGGAAATGTCATGTTGCGGTCCACCCGGATGGCCAATCCAGGCTTCTGAGTGGAGGCCATGCCCCCGAGAAAGGGTTGCTTCCGCCCTAGGAAGGTTTCACACACACACACACCTAATCGAATATGATGCTTAATTGGCAACCCATTGGTGGATATGATTTACCCGCCAATTGTGAGTGTCTGCACTAGTTTCTGCAAGTCACCATTCATTCTGGATACCGTCGGCATGGGTGAGCTCATTTTGCCTCTGACTCTCAGTAGGCTTGCATTAACTGGTACAAGCATGTGATTTTGGTGAGTCGTCCATTCTCTAGTGGATATTCCGTATAGTCCAGATAGTGTACCTCGTTTCATCCCCTTGGCTGCAGTATGGATATCGAGTTCAGGACGGAACCGCATCCAAGAAATCCTTTGCAGTGCTGCTTGTCGTCTTCTAGGCAAACAGCTTCACGCCAACAGAAGTGACTTGCGTTTGAGTTGGAGCTTGAAAATCTCGAGCCACGTGGGGGGCATGGCATTGTGCCAAAGATGCGCATGAAGCTTAAAGGAACATCTCCACATCCAATAATACTAAACCCTCTCTCTTTGCAAACAGATCTCCACAAGGCGTCCAGATCTTCAAAAAAAATCGGATCATGACTCCTGTCCCCCTTGCGATCCCCAGAGCTCCAAATGGCCCAAAAACCACGGCACCCCGGTCTCCCAGTGCCAAGGTGCGCGTAGCCGCGAGAGCCGCGCCACGCCGCCGCCGTCGCCAGCGCCAGGCCGCCGCGGAGCGCCTCGCGGGCGGAAACCACTCATCAAGGTCCCCCCAGCGACAACCCCCAAACAAGAAAGCCGTAAGAAAACGAGAAAATCGAACCGTGAAGCAAATATATGACTGCTTGTTTGCTTGGGGCTAAGGGAAAACAAAGGAAAGCTTACCTGTGCCTAGAGAGGAACTAAGTTGCGTGTTTGCATGTGTTGTTGTCTGGTTGGATCATTGCGTTTCTACGCCCTGAATGGTCGGCAAAAAGGCCTGCAGCACCTTAGACGGAATGTAAGCTGAGTTTCTCGGTAGTGGACTAAGAATGACTTGATTCGATTCAATTTCAGCATGGTTGTTCTTTTTCGAGCGAGTCTGAGTTCCACCAAAACTGGTGTTCATGTCACCTATGTAGGGTTTGTGTTGTTCACGTCACCTTCTCGCGGCGCGTTCAGCTGCCTGATATCCTGCTTCTTGCTTTGGCTGCTGTAAAACCGGAATTGAGCTGGGCCTGAAATCGCCGGGATTGGCTTGCTACGGAGCAACCCACCCGCAGACGACCCACCCACCACCCACCCACACGCCCTGACGCCTCGGCGAGTTGGGCCCGGGATGGGGGCGATGGCACTGCCTGCGGCGGCCTGGCGAAGGATCTGGAGATGGAACAGGTCTACTGAGTCTACTGGGCGGAATCTCCAAATGGATGGCTCCCTTAGGTTTCTCGGAAAAGACAAGCCCAAGCAAGTGGCATCAGAACAAAACCCAAAACCCCAAATCGCTTGGGGTCATGTTTCCGGGCGCCTTCACAGTTGACAGCATTCCTGAGTTTCACTGTGCTTCGCTTGGGGGTGTCCGATGACCTTGGCAGCACCAAGGATGCCTTTCCTCTGATTTGACCCAGCCTGCGCTTTTGGAATTCGGCTGGTATGTTGGTACATTCAGACAGATTGCTGCATGCAAAGTGCGCAGGATAAGACTGCCAGTGAGGCTCAGACAGCAGCCTGCGGGCCAGGACAATCAGATCTCTGCTTCTTCTTCTTCTTCTTCTTCTTCTTCTTCTTCTTCTTCTTCTTCTTCTTCTTCTTCTTCTTCGCTGACAAATCCCCAACACTTGCGCATGCTACGTGCGTCTCGGAAGCCTCCCCAACATCTGAATCTTCCCATGCAGGCCTGGCACAGCCCGGCGCTCCAAGGACAGGACCCAGCATGACATCGGGCAAGGCGACGCCGCGAGCCCGAAACAGGGCCAGAAATGTGGTCTGCCCTCCACATCAATTCAACATCTTCAAAGCTGAGACGAGGCTGGGACGGAAACTGAGCCAGGTCCTTCTCGGGTGCCTGATGGATTGTTTTAAGCCCCAAGGTCGCCTTTGGACCATGTTGGCTCTTCGGCCCTAACTTTCCAAGACTGCTGTCCTCGCTTGAGCCTATGGGCGGGCCATCGTCTGCCAGTGTGCCACAGCCACGGAAATGGATTCACTGCCAGCTGATATGGTTGGCCTTGCTTGCATCCCGTGACATCTGGCGAGGGGATCAGAATATTCCACCAACCCCTCCCAGACGATGCTCCGTCCAATGGAATTCTGTCAGAATGAGAAAATAATGATGTTTGAACAGTAAGAGCACAAGCGCGAGAAGAGTGTCCACTGCTTCATTGGCACAATCCTCAACAGGGACTCGGCCCTGTCACTTGGTGATGGCGCGACTGGGCTCAACTCTTTCACTGTTGGTCTGCAGGCTTCGCGCCATGTTTGCTTAGCTAAAGAAAATAGGCGTGTCTTTGCATGGGTGAGTGCCCGCAATTGGCCTAGCATCGTCAGATTGAGAGTAAAAAGGGAAACAACCGGAGCAGAAACGGCAGCAGCAGTAGCAGCAACAATAGCAGCAGCAATAGCAGCAGCAGCAGCAGCAGCAGCAGCAGCAGCAGCAGCAGCAGCAGCAGCAGCAGCAGCAGCAGCAGCAGCCGCAGCCGCAGAGGCGGCGGCGACGGCGGCGGCGGCGGCGGCAGCGGCAGCAGCAGCGGCAGCAGCAGCAGCGGCAGCGGCAGCAGCAGCAGCAGCAGCAGCAGTTGCAGCTGCAGTAGCAAAAAGTAGATGCCACGTTCATCCTTTTGCTTTGGTTCCTTGCAGTTAGAATTATCCAACTCCTCCCGCAACAACCGCAGCTCCCTCCAATGGTAAGGCACCAAAAGTCTCAAATCCAAGCTGCAGCCATGCGCTCTTTTCTGACATCGGGCTCGAACAAACGGCAGCCATGATGCCATAAGCAAGGCGCCAAGGGAGGCGAAGGCCCGCCATCTTATGGGTTTGTCTCCAAACCATAGACCCCCCCCCCTGCCAAACAAAAGGGCTCTGGTTTCCCTCTGCTTCCCTTCAAAGCCCATAGATGTAACGAACCACAAAAGCGTGCGCCAACCCGCATGCAAAATGCACTCCCCTCAACGATCATGAAACCGGCTGAAGGGGGCATTCAAAAATGAAGGCAGTTTGTCTTCCCCCTGTCGGTAAGGCACTAGAGCGGCATGACAAGTTCAAACCCAACATGTTCGCCTAGCGCTTTCGCTGACTTTCGCGAACAACTGCAAAGGAAATGAATCACAACACTTTGAAAGAGAACTTCTCCAGAATGCCTCCAGAATGCCTCCATTGGAGCTTTTCCAGCCCTCGGCTTCCCACAGTCAGGTTCGATCCGTGGACGTGCACCCTGGACCTATCTTGATCCAGCAATGGTGTGCGCATCGAATTGGTGTGACTGACAGATAGCAGTGGGCGAATCCTACAAAACTGGTAATGCAGTCAAGAGCCGAATGAGATGTTTTTTTTTTCCGATTGGAGACCCTTCGAAACATCAGTTGCATGGAGATTCATGTCCAAGGTTGTTCCCCGGTGAGTTTGGCCATGTAGGCGGAAGCAGGCCACGAGGTCTGCTGACCTGCCTGCGACGTGCAAGTCCAAGTCCCTTTCTCGGGCTCTTCCATTGAGAAGCTTTATGTGCTTTGCCCTCCCAACACTACAAGCAAGAAATCAATCAAGCAATCAAGCAATCAGGCAAGCAAACAAACAAACAAACAAGCAAACAAACAAACAAACAAACACACAAACAAACAAGCTAGCAGGTACTGCAAGTTTGTCCGTAACGATTTCCTGCATTGGGAAAGATCCACAACATGGCTCCTTTCGTAAGGCTCCCTAGGTAAAGAGGTACCAAGGAAGTTCACTGCTAGCCGCTTGTCACGAAAATGCGGGAAAATACCACACCGGGGCAAAATGCGCCAAAGCTGTGCGTCACAGGGACTCGCCGCAATGATGCCCCCCCCCAAAAAAAAAGAAAGCGAGAGGATGTGTCATGGCATGTGCATGGAACCTCGTGGCACTCAGTCAGCACAAAGGCCTCCGGCCATGGTTCTCTTCACGGAGCACGACGAAACCCTGTGACCCCCTTGCCCAAAATTTTGTATTCAATAGATAGGCCCCTCCGGGTTCAGATCAAGGCTTCCGCGGTTTTTACTTTCTTCCAAGGGTCTGTTTTGACATATCCCCCCAGAGCATCGGCAGCGAGCGCCCGAAGACCAGCCGCCTGCCCAAGCGTCCAACGCTTGGGCTGGGCATGGTGCAGCGGCAAAACTCGGAAGCGGCAGGAGCGGAGGTTGGAGTCACTTGAGCCTCCAACCAGGTTCTCAAAAACCCAATCTCAAGAACATCCAACAAGCTGGTGAATTTGTCAATGGCACTTAGAGAAAGAGATAGAGAGAGAGAGAGAGGAGAGGGAGAAGAAACAAAAAGCAGCCAGAACAGTGTGGAGAAAAGCCGCGGCAAATGTTCCGGAGAGAAGTGCTACAGGTGGTCGCCACTCCTTGCAATGAGATGTTATCATGCTCATCTGCTATTCCCCTGGTGGCAAACTTGACGGTGATAATATCGAACTAGGCTTGCGTACAGAGGGAGGCAAACAAATATTTGCCACGATACAACCAAAACAGCTGGTGCGTGTCTACAGGCATGTAGGATCAAGCAGATTGATGTATGTCGATGTTCTGGCAATTCAAAGCTATGGAAGCTGAAGACCTCTCCAAAGTCTGAGCTGTGTACGGTGGCTACTGCGGGCCCACTTTGCTCCTGTCAACCTGGGTGCCCCAAAACCAACAAAGTGTCACTCCTATGACCTTCTGAATGCGGTTGCGAGTGGGTCGCAAGGTTGGCTGGCAAAAGCCGAAAGGAGCCTTGGGATTCGGGAACAAACCGTGTTGCCTGTGCAAACCAGTTTCAAGACCATCGCCCTTCACCCCATGTACAGGTGCAGGCCATAGCTGCTGCCAACCAGGTGCCTGTCCAACGAATCGCTAAGTTTGCACAATCACCGTGCTTGTGGGAAGAAGTGTCGACCCAAGATTCTGATCTACGCGATTGCCAGAAAGATGGCATCCAACTCCTGAGGCCCCATCTTGTCGCTCCCCTTACACCCCCCAGGCTCTGTCAACACAGAAGCCAAAAGTCTGTACAGTGCAGCTGTAAACTGCTCCCGGATCACACCTTCAAACGGCTGATCCTGCGGGCTGACCGGCGAGCAAAGCTGAAAGAGCCCTTGGCTGCACCGCCAAATGTATGGGAACCATTGTTTACTGCAGCTTCAGGCGACTTGCACCTCGAGCTTTCCGCTTGCAACCGGAAAAGCAGGGAAGTGCAGATGGATTGTGCCATAGGGCAAAAAATACTGAAGTTGTCTGAAGGATTCCCTTTACGGCCTGCATAAGGTTGGTTAACATCCTCTCTACCTCCAATCGCATGCAAGGTTGAGGTCCAGGACTTCTGTTACATTAGATACTAATCAAAAGGCCTAAAGAGGTATGTCCAGTTGCAGCATAGAAGTTGGCCCTTAGAATCATGGCTCTGGCGTCAATAATAGGTCAGACAAACTCTGGTACTTTGCGAAGCCCTGGTCAGCTTCATGCTGAAATACTCGCATGATAGCATTCCATGTTGGTCGCGAGCAAAAGCAAGTGCATTTTGGCCATCTGCTGCGCCCGAAATACGATCAACATTCGCTTAAACTGTTCCCGAACCATATTGAAGGAATCCTTCGCAGTTGTTCTTGGGGGTCGTTTGGGTAAGGTTGATCTTTGGCTTTGTCTGCAGGTCAGCTTTGCCGGGTCGAACAGCTGTTTGGTGGCCGGTCTGCTTCTTGATGGCGCTTCCAGATCAAATAAATAGCTTCTCCCGGAACAGGAAAGCTGCGAATCAAAGCGCACTTGACCTGGCTGCAAATGGCTGTAGCAAAACATTTGCTGGTATCAAACTACGCCTCCAACTTGTGATCCAATTTGCCATGTAATTCTGCCTGCCCAGTCCCAAGTCCCACCATCGGTTCAACTGGCCTCCCGCACCTAGTCATCAAAGTGCAGCAACGGCCTGCGAGCCACGCGCGGATGTTCCCTGGACTTCGCACATGAGCGCTCACAGGGATAATCATGGCAAAAACAACAACACCACAGATGGCAGAACGCCGCGCAATTGTGGAACGTCTCTGCTAGTCCCATCAGTCTCTGCCAGGAATGACACGACTAAACCGCTTGCTGCTAACTTACCAGTGGCCTTGAGAGGGCCGGGAGCTCGCGAATGCGAGGGGATCCCTTGAACACCAAACTGATGTCCTGAGGTAGAACACATCCGGCACAGGTCAATCAGGTTTCCTCCCATTCGGTTGAGACCGCCTGATGCTGCCTAGCTCCCCAGTCTTTTGAGCTTGGCTTTTGCCCATGGCTTCCAACCCTCCAAATCCAAACACTGCAAACCCCCCCCCCCTCCCCACTCGATCACTCGCTTTGCGCCTCCCAAGCACCGCGCTCGCTGCGTTCAGCGCTCAGGAACACCTGGCTGAGGGTGTGCTCATGTCCATCCGGGATTCACCGAATCGACGGATTTCTGGAGGGATGCTCTCCTCAAAAGAAATCACCCCCCCAATTAATCAACAGAGCCACCTGTTTTTGGGTTGCCTTTAAAACTTCCAAAAAGGAGCACCCGGATCAAAGAAAAGAAGCCACGAACCGACCGTGAATTTGCTGCTGGAACGAATTGAAGGCCTCTCTTCCAGACCACTAAGCTCTCAGCTTTCGGCCACCCAACGGGAAAGCTTGACTAATCCCAAGTCTTGCTACCACTGGCAGAAGGCTTGGAAGCGTCTTTGAAGGGCCAGAGTGGAGAAGAGCTGAGCGCAGCGAGCAGTACCTCGCACAGATGAGACCCTTGAAGGGAAACTTGTTATAAGTAAGGTTTGGTAAAACTTTGGGAGATACCATAAAATATAGGTGATGGTACAAGCCAGCACACAAGAGAATTGAGGTATTCATTAGGGCCCCCTTTTCCCCGAAACCATTCTAAGAACCACCTTAGGTTCTTCCCCGAAGAAAGGTTAGCGTTGGGACTCCCCCACGAATCTACACGGGACGAGCCGAACGCCCGGCCTTCTGCGGACTGGCGAGGTCCACGGAAAGCCACATTTCAGTGAATTGATGTTGCAACGACGCATCCGGCCCCCAGCCTGGCGTGAGACACAGAGGGAAGGGTGGGAAAGGTGGGAAGCGTGGGAAGCGTGGGAAGGGTGGGAAGGGTGGGAAGGGTGGGAAGGAAGTGAGCCAACCAGCGCAGCTGGTGCTGGCGAAGCCCTAGGATAGATATAATAAGAAAATATGATTCTCACATCCGGTCACTTGTTTCTTTCACTCCGAGCGGGCCCACTGTACATCACCGCCTTTAAAGAGCACACTCTGCACAACGCGCTCTTCTCTTATCTAGGACAGTCCTAAATGACGTTTAGTAATGTAAGATAGATTAGCGATCTCTCACTGACAACTCTTCCACTGCACACGTTCAATCCCTATAGGCACTCTCCGTGTCAGCCGTGGAAGCATCATCTCTCTCCTCCTTGGCCTTCGCCTCCGGTGTCAAGCTGCTGCTGGGCATGTCATGGGTTCCGTTAATGGTGGAAAGCAGCCAATCCAGGCCCTCATAGAGGCCCTTTTTGGTAGTCATTGTGCTCTCTTGCCTGGGAGTGCGCACATGCAGCGCAAACATTCCCCAAACTTCTCCCCAGGAACTCACCATCAACCAGGTGCTTCAGGCATCGCTTACCTTCCCTTCAAGGCCGTAATGTCTAAATTGCGCGTGCGCGTGCGCGTGCGCGTGCGCGTGCGCGTGCGCGTGCGCGTGCGCGTGCGCGTGCGCGTGCGGGTGCGGGTGCGCGTGCGGGTGCGTGTGCGTGTGCGTGTGCGTGCGCGTGTGCGTGTGCGTGCGTGTGCGTGTGCGTGTGCGTGTGCGTGTGCGTGTGCGTGTGCGTGCGCTTGCGCGTGCGCGTGCGCGTGTGCGTGTGCGTGTGCGTGTGGGTGCGCGTGCGCGTGCGCGTGCGCGTGCGCGTGCGCATGCGCGTGCGCGTGCGTGTGCGTGTGCGTGTGCGTGTGCGTGTGCGTGTGCGTGCGCGTGCGCGTGCGCGTGTGCGTGTGCGTGTGCGTGTGCGTGTGCGTGTGCGTGTGCGTGTGAGTGTGCTGGTGCTGGTGCGTGTGCGTGTGCGTAGGCGTGTGCATGTGCGTGTGCGTGTGCGTGTGCGTGTGCGTGTGCGTGTACGTATCCAGGTTTTGTGTGTGTGTGTGTGCATGCGTGCGTGCAGCGTGGGCGCGTGCGTGTCCGTGGGCATGGATGTACGTGTGCGTGCGCGTGCGCGTGTGCGTCCATGCGCGTGCGCGCGTGCGCGCGCTGGCGCGTGTACGTGCGCATGCCCGTGCGCCTGCGCGTGAGCGTGCGAGTGCGCATGCGCGTGCGTGTGCTTGCGTGCGTCCTCGCGAGCGTGCACGGTGCGTGTGCGTGTGCGTGCGCGCGGGTGAGCGTGTGGGCGTGCGTGCGCACGCCCGTGCAGGTGTGTGTGTGTGTGTGTCAGTGTGAGTGTGAGTCTGAAAGTGAATGTGAATGTCAATGTGCATGTGAATGTGTGTGCGCGTGTGTTTGTGTGTGTGTGTGCGTGTGTGTGCGCGTGCGTGTGCGCGTGTGCGTGTGCGTGCGGGTGGGCGTGCGCGTGCACGTGTGCGCGCGCGCGTGCGCATGGGCGTGGGCGTGGGCGTGGGCGTGGGCGTGTGTGTGTGTGTGTGTGTGTGTGCGTGGGGGTGCGTGTGTGTGTGTGTGTGTGCCTGCGCATGCGCGTGTGCGTGTCTGTGTGCGTGTGGGCGTGTGCGTGTGCGTGTGCATGGCCGTGGGCGTGTGCGTGGGCGTGGGCGTGTGCGTGCACGTGCGCACGCTCGTGCGCGTGCGCGAGTACGTGTGAGTGTGCGCGCGCGTGCGCGTGCGCGTGCGCGTGCGCGTGCGCGTGGGTGTGCGCGTCTGGGTGTGGGTGTGGGTGTGTGTGTGCGGGTGTGGGTGTGGGTGTGAGTGTGTGTGTGTGTCTGTGTGCGTGTGCGTGTGCGTGTGCGTGTGCGTGTGCGTGTGCGTGTGCGTGTGTGTGTGGGGTGTGTGTGTGTGGGGTGTGTGTGTGTGGGGTGTGTGTGTGTGTGTATGTGTGTGTGTGTGTGCGTGTGTGTGGGTGTGTGCGTGTGCGTGTGGGTGTGTGCGTGTGTGTGTGTGTGTGTGTGTGTGCGCATGCGTCTGCGTGCGCGTGCGCGTGCGCGTGGGTGTGTGTGTGTGTGTCTGTGTGTGTTGTGTGGTGCTTTGAGTTGTGTGTGTCTGCGTGTGTGTGTGTGTGTGTGTGTGTGGTGTGTGTGTGTGTGTGCGTTTGCATCTTTGTGTGTCTGTTTCTCTGTGTGTCTTTGTGTCTGTGTGTCTGTGTCTCTGTGTGTGTTCGGGTGTGGGTGCATGTGTGCGTGCACGTGCGCTTGCACGTGTGAATGCGCGTGCGCGTGTGCGCGTGAGCGTGCGCACGCGGGTAAGCGGGCGCGTGCGCGCGTGCATGCGCGTGCCTTCGCGTGTGCGTGTGCTTGCCTTGGCATGTGCTTGTGCGTGCCTTCGCGTGTGCGTGTGGCTGTGCGTGTGCGTGTGCGTGTGCGTGTGCGTGGGCGTGTGCGTGTGCGTGTGCGTGTGCGTGGGTGTGTGTGCGTGTGCGTGTGGGTGTGTGTGTGTGCGTGTGTGTGTGTGTGTGTGTGTGTGTGTGTGTGTGTGTGTGTGTGTGTGTGTGTGTGTGTGTGTGTGTGTGTGTGTGTGTGTGTGTGTGTGTGTGTGTGTGTGTGTGTGTGTGTGTGTGTGTGTGTGTGTGTGTGTGTGTGTGTGTGTGTGTGTGTGTGTGTGTGTGTGTGTGTGTGTGTGTGTGTGTGTGTGTGTGTGTGTGTGTGCGTGCGTGTGTGTGTGTGTGTGCATGCGTGTCCGTGCGCGTGCGCGTGCGCCTGCGCCTGCGCCTGCGCCTGTGCGTGTGGGTGTGGGTGTGGGTGTGGGTGTGGGTGTGCGTGTGGGTGTGTGTGTGGGTGTGTGTGTGTGTGTGTGTTTGTGTGTTTGTGTGTTTGAGTGTTTGTGTGTGTTTGTGTGTTTGTGTGTTTGTGTGTTTGTGTGTTTGTGTGTTTGTGTGTTTGTGTTTGTGCTTTTGCGTGTGCTTGTGTTTGTGTTTGTGTTTGTGTTTGTGTTTGCGTTTGCGTTTGCGTTTGCGATTGCGTTTTCGTTTGCGTTTGCGTTTGTGTTTGCGTTTGCGTTTGCGTTCGCATTTGTGTTTGCATTTGTGTATGTGTTTGTGTTGGTGATTGTGTTTGTGTGTGTGTTTGTGTTTGTGTTTGCGTATGTGCTGCGTGTTTCGTTTTGGTGTTTGTGTTTGTGTTTGTGTTTGTGTCTTTCTGTTTGTGTTGGTGTTTGTGTTTGTGTTTGCGTTTGTGTTTGTGTTTGCTTTTGTGTTTTTCCTGTGTGTGTGTGTGTGTTTGTGTTCGTGTTGTTTTCTTTCTTTTTTGTATTTGTGTTTGTGTTTGTGCTTGTGTTTGTGTGTGTGTGTGCGTGCGTGCGTGGGCGTGTGTGTGTGTGTGTGGGCGTGCCGTGTGTGTGTGTGTTGTGTTGTGTTCGGTGTTGTCTGTTGTGTGTTGTGTGTTGTGTGTTGTGTGTTGTGTGTTGTGTGTTGTGTGTTGTGTGTGTGTGTTGGGGGTTCTGTGACGTGTGCTGCATGTTGTGCGTTGTGGTTTGTGTGTTGTGTGTTGTGTTAGGTGTGTGTGTGTGTGGCACCAGTGTGGGATGGCCTTCCTCTTCCTGACTGTCTTTCTGCTGCTGCTCCTCGTTCCCCTCACACAATTTGGCTGTACGTCTTCTTCCTCCTCCGTTGGCTTGTGGTGTTCTTGCTCTTGGCCCCTTTGCGGAATGGCTATTTCCTCTTTCCGCTCTGCTTCCGTATCTTCTTCGTTGTCTTCGCTTCTTCCTGGGCTTCTTCCCCCTGTTCTTTCCTGGGATGCGGTTTGTTTGTGCCTTGTTTCTTTTTTTGTCTCTTCAGCCCCCGCTCCTATGGGAGCGCGTGTGTGTGCCCAGCTCCAGACTTGCGCTGGAGCCACGTGTGTGCGGTTGCAAACTATTTACAAGGAACTGCAAGCAGTGTAGAGAGCAGCTGACGGGATCTAACCACCCTCCAGCACACCCGCCATACAGCAAAACCGGCTAGCTCAACTGGCCGTACCTGCATGAGCGCCATTGACCGGGCGCCCAAAGACCAAGCTGCACGTGCCACTTCCGGTCCCGAATCCCGTGTAGGCCCAGCTTCTCAATCAGCTCTTGGCTGGACATGGCGCCCGGCAAGTCCTGAGACTTTGCGCATCACGCAGCATCCACCGCGAGTCACGGAACAGCCGAAGCCTCTCGTTTGGGTCAGATTGGGGCTGGGGTCAGTCCTGAAACTCTCAGCAAACAGCAGACAATTTGAAACCCGCAGGCTGTGAACCCTCCAGACCATGGAACACGTCTGCCCGGAGTGCCCCTGAAAAACCTAGCTCCCCCCAGTTTCCCATTTTCGCTGGCCCCTTTATCCGTCCTGCTTGTTGGCATAGATGAGCAAGGGCTTGCCGATGAGCATATCCTCCTGCACGACCTGCCGGATCTCCCTCTCCACCTCGTCAATCCTGTCAAAGTCCCGGGAATCCACCACGAAGATGATGGCATCCTGAGAAGCTTCGCTGTTTGGCTCAGCTTGGCTTGGCGGACAGCTTTAAAAGGGGTCAAAGAAAAGGCTCCTTCCACCTTAGTGCTGGAAGCACACCTTGCATGCCAACTCATGCCAAAAAGAGTGACACACAAAGGCCAACTTCGCGCCATTCATGTAGTAACCATTTGAAAGCCTATGGTTTTCGTTTTCTTTGCATCATTTGGCACGCTCACGCATCCTGGTTCTGGTAGAAGTGGTGCCAGACAACCCTCAGCTTCTCGCGTCCGCCCACGTCCCAGGAGGTCATGTTCACCTTGGCTTGCGATGGTGAGTCGGCACTCTTGCTGCTCGCACTATTTCCTGGCTAATCATAAAAGCCCCAGCTGAATGAGTCCTACAAATTCAGCCACCCTCCCCCCTGGCCAGAGGGCCACATTCATCTGCGTCTTCACTTCGGCTTGCTCCACAGTGAAGCCGATGGTCGGGATACTCATTTCCACTTTAGGGGGCTTAAGGGCGTAGACCATTGTCGTCTTTCCCGCGAAATCAAGGCCCAGTACCAGCACAGAGTTCGAGCCTCGGACAGAAGAGACCTCTCCGGCCTGTTCTCCCCAGCGAAGCCATGATCCGTGACTTTTCTGACTTTGAATCGTTGATCATGTTCATGAGCAGCCTAACAGTTAAAATGCTTTGATAGTGCTTGAAGTGGCTCAATATCCTGGGGTTTGGCGGGCTAGCGCCATTTAGAGGGAATGGTTTCCATGTGTGGATGACAGCAGGAGGTTGCAAAATGGTTCGAAGTGAAGGTGAAAGAAGTCAAGACGCGGCAGAAGCGGCAGAAGCGGCAGAAGCGGCAGAACCCTGGAACAAGCGAGGTGACAAGAAAATGAAAAAGTCGAAGAAGTTCAAAGTTCGAGAAGTGAAAGCGCGAGAGAGCGAGAGCAATCATCTAGAAATGGACGGGAAGGGACGGGAAGGGACGGGAAGGGCCGGGAAGGGACAGGAAGGGACGGGAAGGGACGGGAAGGGACTGGAAGGGACGGGAAGGGACGGAAAGGGACGGGAAGGGAACAAACAGAATGGAATTACATGAAACAGGACAGGACAAGACTGGATAGGAAGGGACCGGAAGCGACAAACGGGAAGGGGCAGGAAGCGAGAAAAAGGAATGTGAAGGCACAAGCGGAAAGAAAAAGGGTGACATCAAGGTGACATCAAGATCATGTTAGATGTTGCGCCTACGCTCGCTCGAACTTCTTTTTCATCATTCGAAGCTTGAGAAGGAGGAGGCGATCGCGCAAACTCCTGCGCCAATCTTCTCCGACGCTGTCGAAGACGGGAAGCCAAGCAAAGAGCCCCACGACAGTAGCGGCTGCAGGGTTTCGTCCAGAAACCTCATTCAAGCCTCGCGGCAATGCGCCTTCGGCCTTGCAGCTTAGCAAGCGTGTGTATGTGTACTTATTAATATATATATATATATACATATATATATATATGCATTGATACATAGAGAGGGGGGAGAAGGAAAGGGAGAGCGAGAAGGGGAGAGAGAGGGAGAGCGAAAGGGGGAGAGGGAGAGGAAGAGCGAGAGGGGGAAAGGGAGAGAGAGAGAGGGAGAGAGAGAGAGGGAGAGAAAGGGAGAGAGAGGGAGAGAGAGGAAGGGAAAGAGGGAGGGAGAGAGGGAGAGGAGAGAGGGAGAGGGAGAGAGGGAGAGAGGGAGAGAGAGAGGGAGAGATTGAGAGAGGGAGAGTGGGAGAGAGGAAGAGATTGAGAGAGGGAGAGAGAGGGTGAGGGGAAATAACAAGCGCACCAACCAGTTCTGCACTCTATCATAATGCGAGACACATCGTCGGTTGAAGAGCGAAGAGGTTGCCGCACCCATGGCGTTCAACTCTCTTTGTATCACTGCGAGGAGGCTAAATGTCTGCAGCAATGAGGAGAGGGTGACCACAAGAAATCAAGTTCACAAACACGAGAAAACGTGACAAACCACGCCAAGGAAAAAGAAACAAAAACTAAACTGCAGAAACAAATTGGAAACGCCAGTGTATAGCGTGCCTTTTCGCGTATTTGAAGGACCATGCCGGTTGAGAGCAACCTATGACCCCAGTTGCAAATGGGAAAAGGTCGGCAAGCACACTTAAAACCTAGGACGGTCCTCCAAGCCCCCCTCCGCCCCTCACCAGTTCAAAGTTGTGCCTGGAGCAAGACAGCTCCACATCCACCACGTGTCCATTCAATGCCGGCCAACTGTTGCCACATGGTGCAGGCATATTGACTGATGTCACATTGAAGTCAGGACCCAGTGTCAAAAGGGCCACCAACTTTGAACACACTGTGGCTTAAGAATCCACGCTACAAGCGTTCGCGTTAAAAAGGCGACGAGCTGCTTCGTTGACCCCCGAATCTACGTCAAAGTGGTGTCGTGGATATGCAGCTATTCAAATGCTGGATACTGCTCTAAACCTCCCCCCCCCTTGTCCACAGCAAGAATATTATGAGGAATCCTTGTTCTTGCTTGCTCCTTATGTGTTTGTGTGTGTGTGAGCGCGAATCGTGATTGCTGATGACAGGAATAATGGAAATCACAAAGATTCAACTTGCTATTGAGAAACACTGGACATCATCTGGAAGCAGGTATCTTCCTCGAAAAGATAAAAGAAGGCTCGCTTTTTCACCTAAGCAAGCGTGTGTTGTCCATTTGCTTGAAAGCTTTGCATAGTGAGGACTTCCGCTACTTTGCACCAATGCACTTGTCCAATGACGGTTAGAAACATAAGAAGGCTGGTTTGCCAGTCATTCATGTCCCTTGGAACGCAAAGTCAAGGCAGGGGAATGATGCGACGAGACTTATTGCCCAATGCTAAATTACATATGATATGCTACCTTGTGTTGCAACGTCGTTGGTGTAGCGACCGGCCTGTGGTGAATTGGCTTCAATTGAAAGACGCTTGCAAACATGAGAAACACCCAGATCCTTTCGTCACCACTTTTTGTCACACCGCGTCTCTGTACATCGCAGCCCTCGTGGCACTGTGAACTCTGCACAGCACGCACTCAAGCACATGGACATGTGTCAAAAGCGGGGGATACCTACAATTGGCTGCCTGAACTTTGTCATTCGAAATGACCCCACAAATGCGCATTCCCACTTTGAAAAGCCTCACAGCTCCGGTCACGTCGCTTTTAAAGGAGACTCGTCCCGGTAAGCGCTCTCAGTGTCGGCCGTGGACACATCATCCACCTCTTCGGCACCTTTATCTTTGGCCTTCAGCACGGCCTCTCGTCTATCCTGCAAGTTTGCCTCGCGCAAGCGACGCGGAGGAGCATGGAGTGTGGACAACAGCCACTCCAAGCCCTCATAGAGACCCTCCGTGGTTGTCATAGTGCTCTCTTGCCTCGGAGTAGCGATGCTCTTTGAGAAAAATAGAATATGTTTCTCTGTTGGCTCAACTAGGTTTGGGAACTCGTGGATGCGGCAAGTTACTTCCCGTGCGCTCTCTGTGAGTTCTCAATCGGCCTCATTCCAAGTGGCAAGAGTAACTTGGGAATCGCTTCCAACTGGCCGGAACACCGGTTG